TAGAACGGAATGAAACCACTGGGGATACCGCGAATGTGGAAAAAGTAAAATTAGGCTATCAGACAAGAACAGTATACCCGTATATGTAGAAACTGTCAAAAGTCTGGACATACCGAGTCTCATTGCAAGAGTAAATAAGAAAAATTAGATTGATATTTTTTTTGGCACCATTATTAATTAATTTTAAAACTAATCGTTGATTTATTTTCCGTACAAAAAATTGAACTAAACAACTCTAAATATAAGAATTCTGTATAAGAATTATTTGCTTCTTTGTATTGTGATTTAATAATAAATAAATAGCATATTGTCTAGCCTTATAATATAATTTAATTGGTACGACTGGTCTTGTTTTGGTCCGACTGGTCTTAGTCCGAGTAGTCTTTAGTCCGAGTGGTCTGGATACTTACGACAATTGGCATTGAGTTTGAGCGTTCGCACACATAACTACCCGCATTCCTGTATTTAGTTACCGTCTTTTACATTCTAGTAAAATCTCTGCAAATTTTATAGCTTTACTTTTTGAAATATTTTGTTCTAATTATTTGATTAGCGACTCGGATGGGATTATTTACTTTTGAACACGCATGCCGCACAAACACAACTATACATTCGTTTTACGGGCTTTATCACACTTCGGTCAAAACTGTCGAATCGAGAATTAATGTTCCGCTTCTTACGGGGTCATACGGGCTTAGTAGCATTATATACCATTATATATGTTACTGAAGCGGTTATTATTCGATCGAAAGAATGCATATAAAATTAAAAATACACTCAGGGAATTCGGAGGTAAGCTTCATGATCCTTGTTAAATTATTTATAACATAAAGAAGTATAATAACAGACAGCTTTATGGATGACATTCACTAGGTTTATTAACTGCAACGTTGCAGTTAATAAACCTAGTGAATGTCATCCATAAAGCTGTCTGTTATTATATATCACTTTCACTAAATGCCTTTCAAAGACAACATAAAGAAGATAGGATATTTATAGTTTATACATGACTTTATTTTTACGAGTATCCGTGCAATCAGTGATATTTTAATTGTGATGAAAATTTGATAGACTGGCGATCAATGGTTTCCATATAAATCTCCTATGTAATTGCCTTCAATTGATATTTTTCGTCGCCCAAACCCATATACGATCAAAATGATCGCGCTGTCAAACTATCTTTCAATGTTAACAAACCCCCGCAACAGGTATATTGGATTCGACCAATACGTCACGAAGACATTGTTGACATCGACTCTGTCGAAATTACAAGTAAATTTTCAAATTTTTCAAGAGACAACTTGTTCTCATCGTTGTGATAATTAGTTGTGCAATGGATTTTATCGAACGGGAGTTGATTACAAACACACAGGTAAGTTTATAATAACCAAAGTTAAGTAGTTTGTTCATAATCGAAGAAATCCGTTTAAAATTTACGATGGTTCACACAGTAATAGTAATACCAGAACTAATACTAATAATATTAATTAGGCCTTTTGTTTTATTGTAAATTATGTAAATAAATGGCTATGTTATCATTACAGTTTGGATTTAAAAATACGTAGATTCTATACATAATAAGTATAATACGTATAAGATTTTCTTCCATTATCAATAAATAAAACTTGCCGAATGGCAATATTGCGCAAGAAATGTGTTATGCCAATAAAACGTAAACAAATAACATGTGGAACGGAAGTTGAGAGCGCATAATTTCCCGCGAATATAATGGATTGGGCATTTAATTTTAAACCCAGTCATACATTTTGGTCACGCCTCGTGGGTTTTTGCGGACTATTTTCGTAGACTATTATTCACCAACCTTCACGTAAAACAACAATGACGTGTATATTCACTGTTAAATTCTAACTGTACTCACCGTAAATGTCCATCTTTCTTGCCAAACAATGTAACGGAAGTTAATGATGATGACTAAAGATGCTTGTCACGTGATCAAGCTTTTTCCCCCGACCAGCCGCCAGTCTCTATAGACTCGATTATCACAATTAAACAGAAATGGAGAGCGATTCGCCTGTCGCGCTTTTTTGCGTGAATCACAGAACAGATTTTCCTAGGCGATATTCTGTTATGCATAATTTGTGACCAATTGTATTAGGTGTAATGTATAATGCTCTTGTTTAAATATTTATAACATTCAACAAATACTAAACTCCTTTTCTTTTTTTTTTTAATCTACCCGCGTTAAAAAACAATAGCATGAAATAAATTTATTTGCGTACTAGTTTGTCAATGAGAAAAGGAATGGCAAGCAGCCGTTTCATGGGTGTTAGGGACACAGTCCGAGATAGTCATTTATGAACTATGTTCTGCCATGTAGGTTTCGTGCTTTTCTCGGTGGGAATTTTAATACGTCAACAATACAAAGCTTTTGAAACAGAAATCGAAACTGATCGATGATTTTCAAAGCACGGAATTCCGATTTTCAAAGCACGGATTTTTTTTTATCTCTAGGCACGTCCTGACCCGTAGGCACGTTAAAATATTCCCTAGCTGGATTGATTTATCTTTGTTCTAATCAGACAGGAAAAAACTTTGCGAAACTTTATTTACAAAGTTTTAGTAATGTAGGCCTATAAATGATTTTTCCTCTTTTTAAATATATTTAAAGTTTTACTTACGATTTGTATCAATGGTCGCCTATTATCCTAATCTATAGTCGACAAAAACCAATAGCAATACAGTGAGAGCTCGCTTTCCTTGATGGTGATCAACTCATATCATGTGAACAGGACATTAAAATTGTTATATATTTCCTCTTATGACTAAATGTAAAGACAGATAAATATTTTTAACGTCTGCTTCTACAATAGAGTGATATCACAGACAAGTGCATGTGTAATAGCTTTATTTAACGTCCGCTTCCACATAAGTGATATCGCAGACAAACAAAATAAAGGTTTAAATAAGTTACCTATATTTGGAACGTGCCACGTGGACATAAAATGCTAATCAATGTCATAGTTTATTTTGTTGGTCATTTTACACTATCTCCCGCCTCCCGGGATGTAATAGTGCTGATTGTGAATAAGTTACAGCCCCCCTGCCGCCATTATAAAAAAAGATTTTAAATTGGTTATGCGACAAACATCACATTAATTACTTGGTGACACTCTTTAAAATCTTTAATCTGTCTGTAGGATGTCGTGTGTTGATAACTCCTTCCTTATAATAAGTAAAATAGCTATTTGTCGAATGTGTAAAGAAACCCGTCGCGTTTTATTATAACATCGTTTATGAGCGAATTGTGTCCTTTCTAGTTCCCCCGTAAGCCACGTAAATCTACAACTTAATTTTTAATTCACATTTTTTGTGCAATAATTTTATGCTGCTTTATAAAGGAGTCGTATTCGTCTTTGCTTTGAAACTTCACATTTTTAAAACATTGTATATTTAATACCATGGGTTATATGTATATTCACTTCGAGTGTGTGTATTATAACATGTAATGCATGTATACTCTTTAGAATATAGAGCATACTAATGTATGTGTATTTACCGAAAGTTGTTACTATGTGATGAATTTCTGAATTGTTCGTCTGTCATTTGTTCAATATTTCATTCTTTCATTTATTCATTTATTTCTTTATATATTTAATTCCTACAATCCCATTTTTTAAAATACCGATGAGTATATTTGTAGAGTATTCCAAGTTTTATGATAAACTATAATACACACTTTTGGAAAAACGGCTACTTATTTATTTGGGTGACGTTTCGAAAAGTATTCTCTCAACGTTATCACTGTTTCCCTGATAGTCACCCCGCCATTCTGAACACCAGACACGCTACTTGCCGCTACCATTTAATTTTCTTACTTTAGTTACGAACGTTACCCCGTTTGTAGGACGTGCTGTTAATATGACCCAGTATTAAATAGTTCAAAGGATAATCCCAGCATGTATTTATTACTGAGGGTTCTCACTTCTATAATACACAGAAGACTAGTGTGGATTTTATGTATATTCAAATAAATGTATACACTACTGATACACAGTCAGTAGACTACCGTTGTTTATGTGTGTATTTACTGTATATTATTGCACAGATGTTGTACACAATTAGGTCAGCAGTTCGCCGCTTCGAAAGAATCCGGAATCCTAATGTGTCTGACGGGTGTGACGTGCGGGACAGCGTATGCTTACCGTTTTTCTTGATACCACTCCATTATCGGATTATTGTTTTGATACTCTTCGTTTAATGTATGTGACAGGAGGTACTGGGTCGTCGATGGTGCATGCAACTGCCAGTACGTTAACGACCCAGTGACAGTGGAAAATTGAAGTAAGAATATGGGCCGTAGGTTGTTAGAGCAAAGTTTTATTCAAAGCAAAGCACACATCCGTCTTCACTAGTCCAAGTGGTCCAAAAGAGTACACAGGACGTTAAACCCCATTAAATTATTATTGTGCTTTTTTGTCCTCGGATTTAGGCAATATCAGTACATTATTTGCACCCTGCTATTCTGAAATGTCTGATATAGGAAAATAAATTAAAAGGAATAAAAGCAAAAAATGATTTTTTTCTTTCTTTTTCCTCTTTACGAATTAAAAAAAAAAATGAAACAAAGCAAGAGTCTGTATCGTTTTATTCAGATCAGTTGTGCTTGTTTATTTACAAAATAATATTTCTGTTTTAGTGTATTCCATTTTAATTGCGTTCGATAATATAAACCATTGTTATCAGGTTTAGATATTTATACGCGTCTCAATATAGTATTATTTTCATATATTTGTCCGATTAAAATCAGTCCTGTTAATCTATTAAAACTTAAATGGATTCCAGGTTGTGTTTACTAATTCGATTTTCTAAACAAAGACATGAAACCAACGTAATTAATTAGATAGATCTTGTTCACACAAGTTTTGTGCTCTAATCTGGGCTATATAGTATAAAAACGCGTGTATTTCAATCGAAAGTTTCATTCCCGCTAACCTCACAGAGTGGCCTCCCTTTTACGGAAGTAAATAGTTGCATAGCAACTAGTTGGCATTATCAATGGCGAGCTCACAGGATCAAGATGCAGGCGATAAGCCTAAAAGTAAACGGTTGTTTATCAACCAAATTGATGCATTTCAAGGTCGAAACACAGCAAAGGTTCGTACCAAATATTATCTGTAATAACTGTTTTCCTAAAATATGTATTTTTCAGTTAAATCGTCCCACAAAAAACGTTTTGCTACTGGGTATTCTCCGTCAACAAACAAACAAAATACGTCACAATCAAAATTAGAACTGCGAGGAAAAGAACAACTTACTTGTTATTAAATATATTGTTGTATTTGCAATTTTTTTTTCTTTCATAGATCATTTTCCCTTTTATCCTTATCAGTGCGATGTCGGTGTTATCGTACACATTTGGCCTGAGACTGAGAAAAAGCCTACCTTGACTTGTTGGCCTTTGTCTTTTGGCCTTTGTCAGGAAAAGCAATTACAGAATGTGTCCAAAATTGTTTTTTCTTGTTATGATCAACAACAAATCTGTAAGGTGGAAAGATTTTTAAGACAAAACCCCCCAGTTTAAGTTGGTAATTCAACGACTAACCCAGGACCCAAGTAGTACTAGGAAAGTACCACAATATTATGGACTAGACCAAGTGTTAATCCGAACCCAAACTATGAAACAATCACTGAAACGAATTTTAGTCAGTTATTTTTGTCTTTTCTCTCCAGTATTTATCACACTGTGTTGTTGGAGCATCGTTAGAAGAAGCTGAGGAAGAAGATGATGCCAAATCTGTTGATAGTTCTGTTATACCACCACCTAAAGAAGGTTGTTATGAAGTCGTTGGAACCACCAAAACTAGGGATTATTCTAAACCAGATTATATCAAGGAAATCATCCAGGTAATTTAGTTTCCATCTAGTTTTCTTGTGATCTGCATTGAACCAGTGACAAGGAGTACCCTGCTTCAGATCCTGGTGGAGCCACGGTGGCTAGGTGGTTAAGACGCTGGCTCGCTAGCCTGGAGGTCGGGTGTTCGATCCCTGCATTGGCCGAGAAAGTTCATCTGGATTTTCTGACGTGGTTTCCCCTTGTCAGTGGTGCAGAACGGAGGGCTGGACAAGGACAGCTGTCTAGTCCTTCAGATGAGACGAAAAACCGAGGTCCCATGTATACATTGGAATGCACGTAAAAGATCCCTTGGCAGTTGGAATTCGATATAAGAGTAGGCGATAGTGCCACTGCCCGGGCAAAATTTCCCTCATAGCACACTGTATGGCGTATGCCGTCTTCATTAGCCCAGTATAGGAGCAGAACAGTAGGACGTTAAACCCCATTTCATTTCATTTCAAATCCTGGTACATAGTGTCCGATATAGTTCCTTTTGGAATGGTCTTTTACAGACAAGGTCCTCTGGCCATTCCTAGTAAGCTGCAATATGAAAACACCTCTCTGTCCCACCCCAGTTCTAAGGCTACTGTATTATATATTCATTCCCAGAACAATAATAATAATTTGATATATTGGACAGAAAAATTCTATCAAATTTTTGTTATTTTGATAAATTAAAATGTATTGATTTATGACAAATATAATATTTGTTATATTTCCAGTATGATAATCGTGATCAGTTATATGAACAGTTAGTAGAATGTGATGTAATAGTTTATGATATAACTGAAGATCCAGATCAAATTGATGAAGCAGTATGGGCAATATCAGGTAAAGTTATTCATTGATATTCAATTTATTTTTGCAAGAATTTAGAAAGCCACAAATATAGGTAACATAAATCGGGTGAAAGGGTTTGCTTTGGAGAAGTGCGTTTCCAGCAACAGCAAGATGAAAATAAATTAGATATTGACTTACAAGACAGTAACTCTGAAAAATTTGGAAACTGTTATGTCAAATGATAGAACTAGAAGTGTTGGTATGATTATATTAGGACGCTTACTCTCACCCTATGCATACACAAAGTAAGTGAAGTATTGAAAAGAAAAGTTTAATTATATGTTTGTCATGAAATAACCTAGTATGTGTTGACTCCATGTTAAACTCTATTTTTCAATGTCTCAGAAATAGGATATGGTAGTTTATCATTGATCTCATTGAAATAATTAATCATGAAGATTGAATAATAGACATTTTAATTATTATATATTTTAATTTTTGTGATTGTAGAACTTCACGCTGATTTGGAGAAAATCGAAAGATCTAAGATGTTTATATTGATATCAAGTTGTATGACCTGGGCTAAAAGTAAACCTCTTGACCCTGTAAGTAAATATTTTGTTTTTGGTGCTCACAAGAATTGTTTTATTATTTGTCATGCAATTGTTTATTGCACTGTATACAAAAAATCTTGCATTATCCTTAGGCAAAAACATTTTTATTCACTTATTATCCAATAGGCTTAAAAAATTCAAAAATTAATTTATTTACTTTTCATTTGAAGCTAACCATTTCCAATCTACATGAACCAATTTTCTCCCTTTAGGGATCGATGCTAAGACACAGTTATCTCTGTTGATTGTGTTCCTTATCCAGGATATACTCCCAAAGTTTACGTTTTTGAAAAAAAAGCCCCCAGATACTCCCTGCTGGCAAATTCGGCATTTCCTGTATTTCTCTCTTCGTAACTGATTATTAGAACTGGAAGCCTGATGAATAAAAGAAAGACTGAATCTTATTCAGTCGCATCTGAAAAAAAGCTTTTAGAGATTTGTAAAGGACCCTTGACAGTTGGAATTCGGAATAAGAGTAGGCCATACTGGCACTGTCTGGGCAAAATTTTCCTCATAGCAGACTGTACGGCATATGTCTATCTTCGTTAGCTTGGATGGGGAAAAAGACAGTAGAACATCAAGCCCTGTATTCTTTAGTGTAATATATATACAAATAGTAACCATAAACCCCATTTTATAATTTTGAAGACATCGATGATTATTGGATTTAAAATATTTCCATAGTATTTACAAATAGTAACCATAAACCACATTTTCTATTTTTGAAGACATATTGAGGGTATAGACTGTAAATTTGATTTGTTTTTTTTTTGTTTTTTTATTTCCAGGATGATCCAGAAATCCCTTTCACAGAAGATGACTACAGACGGAGAAAACCACATCCTAATTTTAAAGAACACATTAGCGCGGAAAAAACTGTCATCAAATTAGGAAAAACAGTAAGAAATTATATCTTTCAAAAAATGTCTGAAGCACAAACATAAAATAAATGGCTTTAATCTGTCAAGTAAAGTTAATAACTGAAAAGTGCAGACAACATAAACATCTTCAAAAAGAAACTAAAAACTTATTTTTTTAACAAAGCTTTCATGTTTCCCCAGTGTGATAAGTAAACCTTATTCCAATTTGACATTATTTAACTTTCTTTTTTTTCCGGCTATTATTGATATTGTAACAGCGCATCAGAGCAGCTATTCTAGCTGGATGTTGGCGCTCTATAAATGTCCATTATCATATTATCAATTGATAAGAACATGCTAATATTGTAACGTGACTATACTAAATGGAACCCAAATCTGGTTCTGTTATATGTTTAACTTATAAATTTATGTTAAGCAATAGTCTGAATGGAAGATTTTCAGGTGATGAATTTTGAAATAATTATTTTTGTTTTTATTTTCTCAGAATAAGTCCAAATTAGTCACCTATGTTGTATGTTCTGGCTTGACTTATGGTGCAGAAGAAAATATTTTCCACTACTTGTTCAAGGTAAAAAAAAAACTTTAATTATATTATAGTTCTGTCTATATCTGTCTGATTAAATTGTTGACTCAGAAGAAATTAGTTCCAAGTTGCAACTTTCAATAAATACGTCAATACATTCAGTGACCGATCAAGGCCCTGAGGCCATGGACGGCTCATAGGATTGCAGGGAGTATGGGGGTTTTCCCCAAGAAAATTTTGAAAATTAGATTGTTGGAAATGCTATTTCTAATATATCCTCACGGATATAATATTCTGACAGATGCCCATTCGGATCCTACCTACCTACCTAACAATCTAAAAACACATTGGAAAACTTCCACTGTGTTTCATGATTTGGGCGAAAAAAGTCTTAATTATTTTCATCTTCTTATCTTTATCAACAGAGGTAGGGCACATAACTCTTTTATCAAAAGAATAAAATTTATTTATATATTCGACTTAAAATATTTCAGAGTGCATGGCATAATGTGCCTCAGCTACAGATTTTTGGTAATGGACAGAATGTTGTACCAACAATTCATATCAAGGATTTAGCAGGGTAAGTTGTGGTTACAGATTTATAAGTGTAACTTTATTATATTTATTTATACCACTGTGTAAGCTTAAAGGCACAACAGGCCATATCATTCATTGATGTCTTAAATGTCATAGAATTATTTTAAGACTATTAAAATATAAAAGAAAACATTGTGAAGAATAAGATATAAAAAAGTGATGATTATGGTACTTTAATTGTCTAAAACACATAAAGATGGCATTGTGAAATCAGTAGAAACAATGTAAACTTCAAATGGTCATAACTTAAGTAATGAATAATTTCTGGACCAAAATTACGAATTAAATTGTAAATTCTATGCTGGTGCTTTTTTTTGTTCATGTGTCTTAATTTTTTCCATTTGATTTTTTTTCAGAGTTATTCAAAATATAGCTGATTCTCGACCTAAAGTCAGATATCTGATTGCTAAGGATGATGCACAAAATACTCTAGAAGAGATTGTTAAGGTACGAAAATTGTTTTATTTGTCCTTGTCTTTCAGTTATTACAAAACGATAAGGTCTACTAATGTACAGATTATGGTGCACGTTAAAGAACCCGTGGCAATTGAAGAAGGGTAGATGAAATTGGTGCTGTTTAGGCAAACCTATACCTCTCATTGCATATGTTGCCTTTGAAATGAAAATGTCCATATGTTAGTAGGGTGTTGGGTGGCCGAATGGTTAACACGTGCAAGGGAATTATTGTAATAAAATTGAGCTATATTGACGTTAAACCCCATTTCTCTCTCTCTCTCTCTCTCCATATGTTAGTCTCAAAATGACACAAGTACTGTGTTAACAGCAAGACTCATTCCATTCCATACTTTTATTGACCATTTTTACAGGTGTTGATTTATTTGGATGAAGCACTACTATCATGAAATTTGTCTTGTCGTCAGTGGATAAACATTAAACATGATCCATTGTGTTTAAAATCTAAATGGAAGTAAAATACATGGATTAAAGATTTTTCTTGAAAGATTGAATGGTAACACTAATTTCATTTCAACATTTTAAATTATAAAAGGGATGTATGTTATATTTTTAGGCTGTTAGTACAAATCTGGGATCAGGTAAAGTGAAGAGTATCAGTAAAGAAGAAGCTTTATTACACCGGGATATTGAGGTAATGAATTATCTCCCCTTTAGTCTTCAAATTATTTAATTTCAACTGACTTAAAATCTGCTGATTGACATTTGCATGCTCTGGACAATATCTAATTTTTCATAGCTTAAATTCACATTAAAAGTTACTTAGATTGAGAAGACAAAACCAAAATATTGATCATAGTTAATCTGAGACTTGGATTCAATACGATTAAAAAGAGGCCCATCAAAACGCTTTCCCAGCAGAGGATGCCAAATGTTGGACATTTTAAAATTATCTTTGTCCTGAATAGAAATGAACCATATTATTCTATTTAGAGATTCAACTATAATTTAGTTTGTTAGGGATTAAAAATCCCTCAAATGGCGATTAGTGTTTTGAAGCCCATTTTTGAAAACTTTTCTTGTATTTGTAGTAAAGTTTTATACTTTTGTCACAAGCTGTGTTAGTAAAATTAATCACTCTTGCCCATCCATATTTAAATTTTTTTTTTTTTTTTTTAAATCATCCATTTCAATGTTCCTTACTTTCATTTTGTAGCAAGCTGATTTTGACATGTTATTAGTCAATCTAAGAATGGATGCAGTTCATGTTAAGGAAAGCATGCGAATAAACTGGGTATCTGAAAGTGGAATGGTAGATAACTTAACACCATTAATAAAAGAATATAAAGATCTTAGAAAACTACAGGTATGTCTTTTTATTCAGTTTTCCACTAAAAGTAATATACAATTTACGTGAATTCACTACTTTCTAACAGACAAAAAGAGGGTGTATAATTTTCAGCTTCTATTATTGCACATGAGAGATCCTTGGAAATGGTCTTGTGACACCTTTTCACTCTACTCAAGCAGACTTCCAATGGGTATGTCTCAGCTACATTGATAATAATTTAGTTCATTGTAGTTTAAATTAAAATTTTGATATTTATTTAATAATAAAATTATCAATATGTAAGTCACATAAGGAAGAATCTTATCGATTCCCAATAGTCTTTATCTTTCCCATCTTCAGTAGGATGTTAAACCCCATTTCATTTCTTTCCATCTTTCTGTTCACATTTTGACTGTTAGTAGGGATGTACTACCAAGCTGATTGTGGGCATTTTAGGGTATTTACCATTGTATTCTTAGTGTATATATGTAGTAATGTTATGTTAAGTATTTGTATGCATTGCTAATCATACAATCTGATTAAAACACAGATCTGTATTTTGTTTCGTTTTTTTATACTTTCGACAGCCTACACTACATGAGGATCTGACCAGATGTAGTGGAGCAGTGTCATACGAGTGGCTTTTGACATCAGACATTTATTAATCAATCAGCGTTGACGTTTCTGTGCACCTCACGCCAAAAATTTGCCCTAACAGACCGTTTCATTGGCTAATCCCTCACATCAACCATCAACTCTTCCAGATCCTAGTGTAGTAAAGACAAGTAAAATGAAATTTTAATATTTTATATTACATTTTTCAGCCATTACGTGCGGTTATATTAGGACCACCTGCTGCTGGTAAAACAACCATCGCTGATCAACTATGTCAGTTTTATAAACTTCATCATATTAAAATTAAAGATGTTATAGATGAAGAATTGGAAAACCTGGTAAGTTCATTGCTGTCATTTTGTCTTCATAAAATAGATCACTACAATATGTTTCATGACTTGGTATATTACAGGCATTGTCACGCTCTGGCATAAAAAGTAAACTCTCATTTTAAGTAGAGGAACACAATTATATATGCATGTGCAAATATTAAATTTTTGTACGCCCACATTTTCTTGTAGACCCTCTGGGCGTCACAATTTTATAAAATCTTGATGAAACTTAAAGTATGGTTATATCCAAAAGATCTTGGTTCCTGTCAATATTCATGTTAATCGGACTGTAACTTTCTGGATTGTACAAAAAAATTGGGGTTTTTTTTCGCTTGTTCTCTGTCCATCTCTTGCAAAAATGTGGGCGTATCTTGCCTGGCAACTGCTGGTAATCATATTTGACATCGTTTATCTGTTAATTATTGATCAATCAACACACGTTCTGATTCAATAAATGACATATCATTCAAATATGATATTATATTTTATTGTATTTTTAAATTTAATAATAGTTTTGTCAAGTTCATTGCTTGGGAATTATTCTGCTTTATTATGATGTCATTTAATTGTCATCTGTGATGTCATATAATTGTCATATCTGACAAGGAGTAGGGTTGCCTGTTCAACCTTGTGAGTTTTCTCCGGATCCTCCAGTTTCCTCCCACTGCTAAATAACCCTTACACGCAAACAAATTATTGACATAAAATTGAACCATATGTTAGTCCCAAAATGACCTAGTTTGTGTCGAGTTATGATATCATTTTGTTGAGTTATTTATCTGTGATGTCATTTAATTGTCATCTGTGATGTCATATAATTGTCATAGTATATATTAATTGCCTTAATATTTCCATAATATATATTATATCATTTAAATTATGATTGTGTTATATATCTGTACTGTCAATTAATTGTGATGTCATTTATCTGTAATTTCATTTATTTAGTTCATTTATTAATAATGTCATTTATTGTTTTCATCCTTTGTAATTATGTCGTTTGACTTAAATTTCATTGTGACTTCGTTTATCTATGAGGACATTTTATTATTATTTCATTAGTCTTTGAGGTCATTTATTACTGAGATCATAATTTAATGATAATTTCATTTCAATGTAGTTTGACTTATATTTCAATATGTTATCTGTGAGATCATCCATTATGATGGTCATCCATTATGATTTCATTAATCTGTGAGGTCATGATGATCATCCATTATTTCATTTATCTGTGAGGTCATAATGGTCATCCATTATTATTTCATTTATCTGTGAAGTCATAATTGTCATCAATTATTGTTTCATTTATCTGTGAGGTCATCATGGTCATCCATGATTTCATTTATCTGCGAGGTCATCCATTATGATTTCATTTATCTTTGAGGTTATGATGATCATCCCTTATGATTTCATTTATCTGTGAGGTCATGATGCTCATACATTATGATTTCATTTATCTATGACATCGTAAAATTAAAGCGTTCAAACCTGTTCTTCAAAATACTGATTTTGAATAATTATATTTTGTAGGCAATAAAAGCAAGACGAGCTGATGTAGAAGATGAGGATGAAGATGATGGAGCTGCTCAGGATGCTCAAGATTTAATAGATCAGATAAACGAAAGCAAGGAACAAAATAATGGTAGAATAGAAGATCAGTATATCATCCAAGCTTTCAAGAAAAAACTTCATTCCATGTCCTGTCAGAATCAAGGCTTTGTCCTCGATGGTTTCCCTAAAACCCTTGAACAAGCTCGAGAACTTTTTGTTGGTGAGTTATAACATTTAATTTTTGTTTATTTTTGAGAGATTTATTAACGACACATTGTGAACATAGTAAAAATCCAATATTGACTTTAATTCCATACACAATATCTGCTTAAAAGATGCATATTGGTAGCAAAATGTCTAATTTCCCATAGTTTATTCCACACTAAGTTATAATGAAAATGATTATTAAAAATTTAATCAAAATATCAATGATACATAAGCAAGAGAACCTCTCACATTTTCTTTTAACGGCATTCAGCAGTCTAAAATGCAGTTTAAAGCTAGCACTGTAATTTTTGTTGATAAGATATGACATTTTTTGTTATTTTTGGTGGTAAACTACATATTAATCACCAATAAAATACCAATTTTATTTACCAACTATGTCCAAACTTGGCCCAAAAGCATGATAAAAAATGTTGCTGATGACAACAAGAGTCGAATTTTCTTTTATGTGGTCTAGTATCCATGGAAATGCAAAGAGACGATGAATTGTCTTGGAAATTCAATTAGTACATGCTAAAATTGAAATCGATAATCCCCCTGAACTGATCTAGGTCAGGGAAACCTTCTTGTTTGCTATAAATAGGTGGGGGGGGGGGTCCACTTATATCTCCATTAAATGGTAAATACAAACCTTCAGTCCATATAGAATAAAAAGTTGTCTGATTAAACAGCATATTAGTCCCCAAAATTTTCAAATCTATTAATTCTAACATTATTTATGGCCATCTAAATTTCATATTGGTGTCTGTTGATTTTAAGCCACCATTTTGTCTTGATAACTGAGTCTTCTCATTTTCTTACAGGTGAAGATGACGAGGAACCCGAGGAGTCAGCAAAGGGAGGTAATTACGACAAAGCAATCATGCCAGAATTTGTAATCTCCCTGGATGCAACTGATGATTTTTTGAAAGCTCGAATCATGAACCTGCCAGAAAATATTGTCTCTGGTTCACACAATACAGAGGAAGGTTTAATGAGAAGGTTAGCGGATTTTAGGGCAGTTAATACAGAAGACGAAACGGTACTGAATTATTTCGATGAACTAGAATTCCACCCAGAGAAAATAGGTAAGTCCATTTCATTATTCATTTAAAAAAAAATAAAAAGAGTAGTATTACTTCAAAAGTATAAACATAACCAAACATTCAGCTGCTCAATCTGTAATGTTTGATAACCTTGATTTTTGATTATCAAGTACTATTACAGGCCTTGAAAAACAATTTTAAATGTCCAGACTGAGAAAATGCCACCAGAACTAGCACCCGGGCGTTAAACTTTATGCCAGACTTGTGTTAGAAATATCAATAAAAACACAGAAAAAAAATAAATCTGTGTCATACATGACAGGCACCAGAGAGATTGTCCCTACGCGCAAGCGAATTATTGAAATATAATTTAACCATGTTAGTCCCAAAATGACCTAGTTTGTGTCGCGTGGAGGTTAAACCCCATTTCTCTCTCTCTCCAGAGAGATTGTTCCTGATTAGGCTGGGATTTGTGCCTGACATTGTATTATGTCAGGTGTGATATTTCCAGGCATCATAATGCAGCATTAATTAAGCTGGCACCAGGTGCAATCCCTAATGAGCAAGAAATTTAATCTGAAATCTAGCCAGTTTTCTTATTCAGAATAAATAATTTCACACAAGATATTTATTTTTCAAAAACATTTTCAGATGTAACAACAGATAACTCAGTTATGATGAAAGATACAGTTGAAAGAATCAAGAAAATTATGGGAGCGGCTAGAAATTATGGTATGATTTTTTTTTATGATTATTATCCAATAAATGTATTAATTATTTATATTGAATTATTTTATTATGCTCCTCTACAATCTTAAATACGTATTGGCTATGTGGAGGCATGAAATATAGCTTGTGGTACAATAAGAATATTTTTTTTTCATTGAAAACTGAAATGAAATAAAATGTAATGGGGGTGTAACGTTCTACTTTTCTTCACCAACTAATAACAAAATCCTATAAAAGAATTTGGAAGAAAAAAAAATATCCCTATTAACTCTTGTATTATTGAGACTTGCCCGTGCAAATTCCTATTTACAGAATTTGAAAAATATATAATTTAGGGGGGGCGGGGCATGGCCGAATGGTGTTAGATCACAAGATCTGGCATTGAGTCAGTGGCGGGGTTACGAAATCCTGCTTGTACGTGACAAGGTGTAGTTTCGTCTGTCAAGGCTTTTGTGTTTTTTCTGGGTCACCGTACATGCAGGTGAATTATTGAAATAAAGTTGAACCATATGATAGTCCCGAAATGTGCTAGTTTATGTCGAGCGGACATTAAACCCCATTTCTCTCTTTTTTATATGAAGATTATTTGTGTATAATAATATTACAGGTCCAACAGCAGAAGAAATAGAACAAACCAGAAAAGAAGAAGAAGAGCAAAAAATGAAGAAAGAAGCTGAAGAAAAAGAATTAAGAGAAAGAAAAGAAGCGGAAGAGGCTGCTGAAAGAAAGAAGAGACAAGAGGAATGGGTAAGAAATTTAATACTCTATACATCACATAAATAACATACCGGTAGTTAAATGCAGCAAAAAACAAAGGGATAAACATATTTATTAAATAAAATGAAATCAAATGGGGTTTAGCATCCCACTTTTCTGCTCCACCCAGGCTTTTGAACACAAGACATATGTCGTGCAGTGTTCACACGGCAGGACCTGGATTTTTTCGTAACAGTCAAACAACTAGACACTTTCTCTTGCCAGGTCCCTTGATAACACTCAATCTGATTAAAACACAGATCCTATTTAGTTTCGTTTTTATAGTTCAAAATTTTGTTTTACTTGTCTTTACTACATTAGGATCTGGAAGAGTTCTTATCGTTATCATGTTCTGAATGATGTGAGCTATTAGCCAATGAAACGGTCTGTTACGGCGAGCTTTAGGCGTGTTTTGAACGGAACTGTGGGTAATCCACTAGTAACATCAATGCTGATTGGGTAATCAAATGCCTGATGTCATAGGGTCAAAAGCCGCTCATATGACCTCTGACGCGACCTATTGCTACAAATGGTCAGATCTTCATGTAGTGTAGGCCATCGAAAGTATAAAAAAAAGAAACGAACTATAGATCTGTATTTTAATCAGATTGGACAACACTGAAACCAATCTGGACAATACTGAGGAACTATCACGGCCATGTACAACACACGAGGAGGGACACCTGCCCAACCTCATGGGTTTTCTCTGGGTCCTCCGGTTTCGTCCCATAACTTAACAGTCCCAAAATAACATAGTTTGTGTTGAGTTAATTCGTTTCTTTGCTTTTTTTAACAATTCTTGTAAAATATCCCATATCCTGCATTTTATTTTTGAACGGTAATTCATGATTTTTTATTTTTTTTAATGACAGACACAGAGATTAAATGAAGTTAAAAGAGAGGAATTTGAATTATTAGAAACGCAGTCATATCCATTGAGAAATTATTTAATGAAACATGTGATGCCAACGTTAACCCAAGGTCTCATTGATTGTTGTAAAGTTCGACCTGAAGATCCTATTGACTACTTGGTAAGTTCTTAGCTTGTGGATATACTTCATCAGTTTTTGTAGCTTGAAACTTCTGGCATCAGACATTACATTCTGGACTGGAAATAGTGACTTTAGATGTAACTGACACTAATGAATAAACTTTCCAACAGTGATGCATTAATCAATAAAAATACTGAAAAAACACAAATCTGTTCTGGACAAGACAAGGAGCAGGGTTATCTGCCCAACCTCCCACTGCTAAAGAAATAAATTTGTCAACCTTTTTTCATATTTCCTTAACAACCAACACACTGATCAGCAGTGAATATTCGCTAGTCCGCTAGAGCCACTCATAGGGATGACATCAATGCGACTTATTGAGCCCCCAATATTAATTTTTTACCTTCTGCAAATTAAATTCTAGAACATTTTTTTTTAAACATAAGAAAAATAATTAAAGGTGTTTCAAGTATATTTAGTAAACAAATATTTCCTTTTTAGTGTAAATGAGTATTAAAATGAGTAAAAGGCACCATTCTGCCTGGACCAGTTACATCTTCTGTAAACAATGCACGCGTGATGTGATGTCACGTGATAAAGCAGTCATCTTTTACAGAGCTTTTAGTCTTCACAATACCTCTATGAAACAGATTGAACAACCAGAGGTTTTCAGATATTGCTTGGAAATGCTATGGTTGATTTTACCTTGGAATGGCAAATAATGTTTTATAACATAATTTTTTATTCTTTGAATTTTTTCTTTTCAGGCTGAATACCTATTCCAACAGAACCCACAAGTAGATTAAAAAGCTGCTAAATAATTAAAATTTCCACAATTTTATAGCCAGAAATCAACAGCATTATAATTCCATCTTCCCTAGTATTCCATACCTGAAAACAGTTTTAAATTTATAACCAGCATTATAACACTGGCTTCCTAACTGAAAATGTTGGATGATAATGGATAATACCTGATGTCAATCCTCTTTCAAAAATAAAAGATTTATATGAATACATTCAACTGATACAGCATTAAAATTATTTATTTCATTCTTTGTGCACAGATGTGTTGTCTTTATTATTTGGAATTTTTAAAGTGTTTTTAAACTCAGTCTTATTACATTAGGAATCACAGATGTTGAGAGGGTGTTTTCCATAATGAAATATGCTATGCTTCTAATTTTCAATAAATGTACATGGTATGTTTCTAATTTTCAATAAATGTACATTATGAGAAATATCAATGTGCTAATTTAATTGTTAAAAAAAACCTGAGTCTGTACTATCATAAATATTGCCTTTTAAATGTACATAAGCCATATTGTATAAATAATTCCTTATAAAGCTTGTATCTGTGATGTAATATTTTATTGTTGTTTGAAGTCGTATAAAATCATTTAATTCCTGTATACAGTTAATATTATATTTATTATTTATGTTTTTTGTAATATATGGAATTTTATTCTATTTATATTTAGAAAGAATAAATTATTCAGTAACTTCATAGTTTTGTTTTGTCTATGTGTATTGTGATAGACATTTGCTCTTTGCAAACAAAATCTAATTTTTTGTGGCTTAAAGATACATTATGAGAGATTAGATAAAGAGCTGACAGTTCTCACTATAATAGTTAAATAATAGATAATGCAACCGGAATATGCTGAAAATTTCAGTCAAATTACTTCACTCTCATTTTAAAAACCTTGTAGCCTCGATTCTTATTGTTGCCAAAAATAAAAGTCTTGATTATCCATTTTTGGATTTAATCAACAATGGCTGTTGTGAACAGTAGATCGAATTCAAATCTAATGAAAATCGGAAGCATCAGATGGCATTGACAGTTGATTATGGTCTTGTCATGTTAATAAATTTATAATTTATACATTTTAAGCCTAAAGAAATACCTGCAGTAGGCAGATTTAGCTCTTGCATAATGCATGTTTAAAATGCTAAAATGTAGCCTACTCAGATTGATTATTAATCATTTGATGAAGAATAAAACAATATATCAATGATGGGTAATCTCCAGACATGGATTCAATCGGTTTTCAAGAAGAGACACATCAAATGATTTTTCCCAACACTTATAGCATTAATGATCGGAAGACATTGGGCATTGTATATTATTTAAGCACATGCATGTATTTAAACATACATTATGCAAGAGCTAAATCTGTCGATTTCAGGTCTTTCTTTAGGCCTGAAATGTTATCTAAATTATTAATTAGACATTAATTAACCTATCCAGGCCATAATCAACTCTAGATGGCAGCGCTAGCCTGCGATCTTTGGTGGATTGTAAGCCAATTTACTGCATAACTTTCCTTCTCTATTAAACGATTAAATGGATAATCAAGACTATGCTGTTTATCGTACTGACTTTAGTAATGATGACCGAGGCTTATGGGAATTTCAGTCGCTTAGTTCTCGGTTCATAGTGGTTCAATTTGAATGAAATTTTCACCAAATTGCCTTTACATTATCTAGTTTTTAACTATTATAGTGAGAACTGCCAACTCAACTCGTTACCAAATCTCCCATAATGTATCTTTAAGCACATGCATGTATTTAAGGTAACAGCACATGAGTTATGAAATGCAGGAGGATGTCCCAAATTAACATTGATGATTGAGCAGTTCCTTCACAAAAAAATGAAATAATGACCAAAACAACTGTTATAAACATCTTTGCAGGCCGCATACATTACAAGAAAACATTTGCCTGGACACCGGCATATTTGCCTTCTCATCATCAAATTCTAACTATCAAGGGTTCTTATTTTTGTCAACTGTTAACAGCAGAAAACAAAATTGGGTGGTATTTTTTCATTATCACTAGTTCTAAAGACATAAAAATGTCCAACAAAGACCAGATTTTCATCCTGAAAAAAAACCCAATTCAACATATAAAATCCAACAAAATACACAATTTATTTTTTAACTCTAATCGAAGCAGTATAATCATTGTAGCAGTTTCATTACCACACGGTTGAACTACCTTTTTGCATAATTTACTAGCTAGGCAAGCTTGAAATAATGATAAATGGGAGACAACTCTAATTATCAGTCCCTGTTGCAATTAAGTTCCATATTCTAGATTCAATAATCTTTCTAACCAGATTGTTTTGGTATTATACAATAAAAGAATATCTATTTATATAATCTAAACATCTAATGCAATGAAAGTACATGTAAGTAGTCCAAATTATAATGGCAGCTTAAGTTAAAGTGACATTATTTATAAAGTGACATGATTGGTCTAGACCTATTTAAAAGAAATTATGAAAAATTGATTTAAGTTACTTAAAATCATAGATATTGTATTATATCAAAATTTCTTGTCACAAACCCAAGTTTACTAGAATCCGCGACCACAAAAAATAAATAAATAACCCAGCTAGTGAACGCACCGGCACTTTAAACACGTGACTAAAGTTTAGTCATTCAAGGGGGGTAATTTACTTCCGGATTTACTCCTTAAAAAAAAAGAAAACAACGATCATGTGGATGTTTTAATCCGTGAAAACCAATTTAAAACCACTTAGTAAGATATTTTTTTTATATGTAGAGCAAGGGAATGGTTGTCGGCGTTTCCATAGATGGACTAAAAACCATAGATATAAATTTCTTTCTTTCTTCACAAGTGAATGCTTCCGACGGCGCCACAGCTCACTGGGTTTCACTTTTTTTTTTTAGCGTCTCATATTAGATCTACTTGTCATTATATAATTCTTGTTGGATGAAGGAGTTGCGGTACTCTCAAATCCTGAGGGTAATCCAAAATAAGGAATTAGTCATAATTTACTTGTATTTTTAGATAGTTCTCTGCAAAGAAGAGTAGTAGCCTATCCAAGAAAAGATTAAGATTTCAATTAAAGTTGGAAGGCACTTAATGAAGAGGACTAGTGTAATATTTCTAGAAATTATTTCCTTGTTGTGTTATTCCTGTTCTAAATATAAAACATGTCTACTGACATAATAATAACTACTGTCTGAACCAAGGTAAATTATAAACGGATTTCTTCGATTGTGAACAAACTACTGAATAATTGTTATTAAAAACTTGCCTGTGTTTGAAATCACCTCCGGTTGAATAAAATCCATTGCACAATTAAATATCCAAACCAAAACAAAAGTTCTCTCTTGAAAAATCAATGTTTTTGCTTGTATTTTCGACAGTGTCCATCACAACATTACACATGTCACGTCATGAGCTAAACCATCATAATATGTTGAAGGGGGGTAAAGGTTGAATCACGTGAGTTGTAATAACAACAGCGCACGACCGTTTCGAGTTTATCAACTGAGACAAAGACATTGATTTGGAAACAATTGATTGTCAGTCTACTAAATTTTATTCACAATGAATATATCACCAATTATACAAATACTCGTAAATATAATATTGTTTTTCACCCCTGTATATATAATTGTATATTGGATACATTGCCTTGTGAATTTCAAAACAAAACCGGGAATTTACAAAATAATTGTGTTACTGATCACGTACGATTATAAATTTTTCTAAACAGTTTATTGCACACAGGAAATAATATTCAGAGCGAAATAGAAAGAAACTGAACTATCTGCCGATAACTTAATCCGGTGTACGGTATGATTAATTGTTGGTAATAATATTTGGTATTTATATAAAAAAAAAAAATAACGTTATAGGCCTATACCTATTCAATGATTCAATGGCCTCGGCTATTAATGTTGTCTAGGCAAATGTAAAATACATCGGCATTTACCTCGGCTACAACAGATTGCTTAGGTTAATTGACAGGACTGCTTAAGTTCATCAGGAAATATTAACCAGCGGCTGCCAGGCAGGATACGCCCACATTTTCGAGAGATGGATAGAGAACAAGCTAAAAAGAAATTGATGTTTCCTACAATCAAGGGAAATAATTCAGTAAATTACAATTCGATATGCGCAAATATCAAAAGGAACCGAGATCCTTGTGTTATAAACTTACATTTCAAGTTTCAACAAAATCGGATTAAATTTGTGACCTCTATAGGGTCCACAGCCTTGATATACCATATTTTTACGCTATTTGAGAACGAAGGGCGGCCATTTTATCCGTCAGTTTTGGGCCGATGTTCACAAAATTCGAACTCAGACTTACTTAGGGTATAACGGTGATATAATAATACGTTTTTTTTTTAAATCGGATAAAAATTATGACCTCTATAGGGTCCACAAGCTAAAAACGCGATTTTTCGTACAATCAGGGTCCATAATTCAGGAAGTTACGGTCCGATATGCGCGAATATCGAAAGGAACCGAGATCTTTGGGTTATAAACTTACATTTCAAGATTCAACAAAATCGGATAAAAATTGTGACCTCTATAGGGTCCACAAGCTAAAAACGCGATTTTTCGTAAAATCAGGGGCCATAATCCATGAAGTTTCGATCCGATACATGCCAATATCGAAAGCAGCCGAGATCTTTTGGGGATAAACCTATATTTCAAGTTTCGTCAAAATCGGATAAGAATTGTGACCTATAGAAAGTCCACAAACAATTGTGGACGGACGTCCGGACGGACAGGGGCGACGGCATAATAAGTCCACATGAAAATGTGGGCGTATAAAAATATTCAAGGGTGAAATTAATTCAAGGTCAGTAAAACAAATATAATTTAAACGAAATAATCCCACCAAACTCTCTAACCAAATAATTATAATACAAGAGGGAAACAAAATACCGGACCACGGGCGTATATATGTTTTTAAACGCCCAAACTCATTACTGGGTTCCGAGAGGAATAGCTTATTCATACACAACCGTTACGACAGACAAGCCTTGCTTTGACCCCCTATACGAAATGATATATCCCAATAAGTGACGTAATTAGCTTCCATTTTGGTTATTTCTCGGTATCAAAGTTTGTGATGAGTTCAATTTTACAAGAGAGAACTTTTTTATTCGCAAGGACATATAGTTGTACAATGGATTTTATATAACCGGAGGTAATTTCAAACACACGGTTAAGTTTATAATAACCAAAGTATAGTAGTTTGTTCATAATCGAAGAAATCCGTTTATTATTTACCACGGTTCACACAGTAGTTGTAGTAATTTATTACTCTCAATATTGAGGAAGCAAGTATATTGTAGCCTCATGGACTTATATTATGGTAGGCCTATTAATAAATACATGAGGTTCATACTCCTAGCTCCCTTGTCAGTGATGCAGGACAGAGGGGCTGACAAGGAAAGCTGTCTAGTCGTTCGGATGGGACGAAACAGCGAGGTCCCGTGTACACATTGACGTGCACGTAAAAGATCCCTTGGCAGTTGGAATTCGATATAAGAGTAGGCCGTAGTGCCGCTGTCCGGGCAAAATATCCCTCATAGCACACTGTATGGCGTATGCCCGTCTTCATTAGCCCAGGTTAGGAGCAGAAAAGTAGGACGTTAAACTCCATTTCATTTCATACTCCTAGGACCATGGTAGTTATTGATGCAGCGGTTCATAGAACTGTGGTAGCAGTTAAAAGGGCCAATCTCGATTATATTTTGGAGAACAAGACTGCTTAATTTTGTGTTAAAAACCTTTAGAATCATCTATCTTAGGGACGAGTAACTACCTCAATATATGGGTTGGGTTAGGTTTAGGGTCTGTCATTGAGTCAATTGGTATGGTTTTGATTCCCCGCTTGTATGTGACATGGTGACAAGGAGTGGAGTCACCTGTCCAACATCGTGGATTTTCTCCAGGTCCTCTGGTTTCCTTCCACTGCTAAAGATCCCTATGGGCAAACAGATTATTAAAATAAAATTGAACCATATATTTGTCCCGAAATGACCTAGTTTGTGTTGAGTGGATGTTAAACTCTCTCTATCTCTCTATCTCTCTCTGCTCTATGGTCCATAAACATGTGTCCTATATCCCATTTAGATTTGAATAAATCTTCATGTGTATCTGATGAAGGTCAATTGAGAATAAAACATATGATTAAACACCACTTACATGTATACTGTTTATTTCATTATATGTTCTACACTTTTTCTGATCCACCCAGTATCTTTAGATTGTCAAGAAAGCAGACTTCATGCGGATATCTTCCACCTGTCGAACTAGCTTTTAGCAGTTGTTTCTCTAGTTAAATCATCATAAAACTATAAAATAGTCATATCACATTGACATCAAGTATGATATCAAGTTTGTTAACATTTTTCTTCAAGTAGGTTTTGCAGGACATGAGAATATTTACGACCGGTATAAAACGACTGTATGAGTGGTAATAACGAGAGCAGCAGTTCAGGTGGTAGTGGTACACCCACTGAAAGAACTGGACTAATGTCAAGCTCAAGCTCAGCACGGCCAGCGAATCCAGAGGCTAGTGGAATATTCAATAACTCTTCAGCCGTAGGAAATTCTGCACCTCTTTCTGAATCTCGTCAGCTAGATAACAGAACAGTAAGTACAAGTAGCTGGGGAATGGCTGCCAGAAATTTTTTAACTTTATGACACATGTATAATAGGATAAAGGGAAAAATTTTGATTATCTTTTCTTTTCCTTCATATTTAAATCAGACTTGTTAATAGGATTTTTCTGACAATAGCTCATACAAAAATCTCTAAAATTGTATTTTGTGCATTTTTTGTTAGTATTAATCAGGAAAAAAACATGTTTTTTTCTGTGTACATATACACAACAGGATTTCATTATAATCTGAGAATGTGTAGCTAATTGTACTGTGCTTGGTTTCTTGTGCAATTATCCTTTATGGTGTATTATATGTATTGGAGGACAATCTGCCAAAATAATCCCTTTAATATTATGATATTCATTCACAAGCTAGTCATATACGCCTGTTGGTAGAGAATGTTTTCAAAATTGACGGAAATTGCTCAGAAATCTTGTGTCAATTTACAAACAGTAAAATTGTATTTTTTCCCCCACCCTATTTTCAAACATGGCTTCCAGCAATCAACGTTGTACAGATTACTGCACAAATACAGACGTGCACAAATACAGCACAAACTAGACAAACTTCAAATAAAATATGTCAACACTAAACTTCAGTCAAATTCAATCAAACTGTAAAACTAAAACTTTTTTTTTTTTCAAAGGAAAATGGACGATACAGACGTCAAACTGATAACACCAATGAAAACTCAAGTCGACCTTCACCCCAGAATAGTGGAGTTGATGAGGAGGAAGAAGAAACATTTATGTATGGTGCTAATAATGTGATTATGTTATTTGTACCTGTAACATTATGTATGGCCGTAGTTGTTGCTACTATCAGCTCAGTTACATTTTATTCAGCTAAACCTGATAGCTACCTGTAAGTTATAATATCATTAGATTTCTCTCTGTTTTTAAATCATCTGGATTTATGGCAGATATACACAGCCTACACAGGACCTCGGTTTTTCGGACAATCTGGATGAATAGACACTTTTCCTCGTGAGTTACGCCAACTTGCAACACTGAGAAAGGGAAATCAGTCTAAAAAATCCAGTGTACTCATTGGCATGCATGTAAAAGAAGCTTTGACAGTTGAAATGCTATGACTGTCCAGGCAAAATTTGCCTCATAGCACACTTGCACTGCATGGCATATACCCGTCTTCATTATCCTGTTGTACGTGACAAGGAGTGGGGTCGCCTGTCTAACTTCGTGGGTTTTCTCTGGGTCCTCCAGTTTCGCTCCTCTGCTAAAGACCCCTACGCGCCAACGAATTATAGAAAAAAATTGAACCATGTGTTAGTCCCAAAATGATCTAGTTTGTGTCGAGTGGATGTGAAACCCCATTTCTCTCTCTATCATTATCCTGGTTGGTTGATTTACATCATGTTTGCCCTTTGTGCATTGCACACTATATAAACATGGAATCCTAGACTTTCTCTGAGATTTTTTCCTGCCATATTTTTCCTGTTGTATATTCTTTTTAATTAAATATTTATTTTGTTTTTCTATACAGAATCTATACACCATTCCATGACCAAACAGATAATACAGGAACCAAACTCTGGCAATCATTTGCTAATGCATTTATTCTACTTGGAGTAATTTGTGTTCTTACCATAGTGCTACTTTTACTTTATAAATTCAGATGTTATAAGGTAACTTGCGCTACTTTTACTTTATGAATTCATATGTTATAAGATAAATGTATATTGCTACTTTTACTTTATTAAAACAGATGTTATAAGCTAACATTGCTTTATCATTTTGTCCACTAAAGAATTATAGATGAATATTAGTACTTTTATCTTTTTACCTGAAATATGTTAACCCCTTAACCCAATACTTTCTCTTGATCTCGTTCAAAGGAATTAACTCCTTTAAAATTCTATATTGTAGGTAATTCATGGTTGGTTGATTGTTTCATCTTTAATGTTACTATTTTTATTCTCTTATATATACTTAGGGTAAGTCAATTTATTATTATATATTCCGGTCCACTGTGGTCGAACCTATTGGTAAATAGACTTTTGATTGGAATCCCCTGTGTCTGAATTCTGGTGGGGACGAGAAAATCCATCATAGACTTATTAAGTTATACCTAGTTAACGCTTTTCCACACATTTAATAATAATGTGTATAGTCATTCATATTATGGGGGAGGGGGGCTAAATGGTTAGTACCGGCGCTGTATCATAAAGTCAACTGGCATGGTTTCGATTCCCCGGTTGTATGTGATAAGGAGTAGGGTCGCCTGTCCAACCTTGTGGGTTTTCTCAGGGTCCTCCGGTTTCCTCCCACTGTTAAAGACCCCTACGCGCAATCGAATTATGGAAATAAAATTGAACCATATGTTACTCCGGAAATGACGTAGTTTGTGTCGAGTGGACGTTAAACCCCATTTCTCTTTCTCTCTCTCATTCATATGGGATGAAAACTCAGTACACATTGGTGGCACATAAAAGAACTGGTGGCTGTTGGACTTCTGAAAAGAATTGGGGTAAACGCTGTAAAATCGTCATCTGTTGCAAAAACCTTTGTTTAATCATGCACACATCTGTTTCTTAAAAATAATAGAATTCCTGGCAGTTTGATCTCAGACCTCTCAAAATACATCTGCCTTGCATCGCACCACATTGTTGTATGTCTATATTCTGTGAAGTATAGGAGGAAGTGCCACCATCCAGACAAAATTCTTTTCCCTTGCATTGTACACATAGCAAACATGAATTGCAAAATATATCCCATTGGTTTCTAGCTAATTTCTGTAAAGTATTAAGAGCATATAGAAGGAAATGCCGCCACCGAGGCAAATTTCTCCTCCCATGCATTCATTACATACATGACTATAAAACTTAACCATATTGGTTTGTCTCTATTTTCAGTGAAGTATTAAGAGCATATAATGTACCTATGGATTATGTAACAGTTATTATATTAATGTGGAATTTTGGTGTAGTTGGTATGGTGTGTATACACTGGAAGGGACCTCTAATATTACAACAGGCTTACCTTATAATGATCAGTGCTCTAATGGCCTTAATATTTATCAAATATTTACCTGATTGGACAACATGGGTTGTTCTTGGTGTAATGGTCGTTTGGGGTACGTATGTTCTTTTTGTCTATTTCTTCTCTTCCCTTCTTAACGACGGTTCATTTGTCACCGGATTCAGCCGTTCATGAGCGAATTCAGCTATTCATGACAGAACTCGGCCGTTCATGACCGGATTCAGCTGTTCATGACCGGATTCAGCTGTTCATGACAGGGTTCGGCCGTTCATGACTGGATTCAGCTATTCATGACAGGATTCGGCTGTTTATGACCGGATTCAGCTATTCATGACAGGATTCGGCCATTCATGACCTGATTCAGCTATTCAAGACAGGTCATTCATGACGGGATTCAGCTGTTCATGACAGGATTCGGCCGTTCGTGACCTCATTTAGCTATTCTTGACAGCAGCTTGAAAGCACAGGATTGTTGTGTAACTAACTGATGAATCGCCCATGAGCTAGAAGTTGATTTCCATCCATAATTAAGAAAATCATCATACCTGACATATTGGTATTGTATAGGTAATAATATAAGTAGTTTATATATGTGAATGCTGGTGTTAAAGAAAATAATATAATTTAATAAGTTATATTTTGTTATTTACAGATCTGGTAGCTGTCTTATGTCCTAAAGGTCCATTAAGGGTGCTTGTAGAAACAGCTCAGGAACGAAATGAACCAATCTTTCCAGCTCTTATCTATTCCTGTAAGTATTATTGCTTAAAGTTACCAATCTTGAACTTGCTTTTGTTTGATGATATTGAATTTTTCATGGCTAATCCATGTTAAAATTGATTATTTACATTTAATATATAAAACAAAACAAAAACAACAACAGTAGATAATATCCCAGCTGGATTTTGGATCAAAATATACTCTTAAAAAAAAGTAGGAGATATTGAAATGCAAATACCAATGCAGGTTGCGATATGATAAATAGTCATGGACATTTGACATGCTTTGAGAGTATGTTCACAGATGAAGAACTTATCGCCCCAACACAACCACTGAGCTGCACGTGCGACACGCAATAGCGCCATACACGTGGGAGGGGTTCATTGTCAAATTTGACACTTCAAGGAAGGGTTGATGAAAACTGCCTCCTGCTGGTTTATCTATCCATTTTTGCTTTCCTATCAGTTCTTGCATAAGATTTACTGTTTAGCGTATCTTTGCTTTAGTGTGTTACGTTTAATTTGATCGGGAGGCGTGTTCATCAACGTCAACTAACAGCACTGCAAGAATTGGCTGTGGCACTGCAGGAGGAGTGGGTCAGATTGCCCCAAATCATGATTGGACGGTTGATTAGGAGCATGCCACGACGAGTTGCTGAATGTCTGAGGATTGGTGGAGCAATTACTCATTATTAAGACAAAAATCAAAAACGTCCATTTTCACTTTTGACGGTGTTTCTCTTTATGGGTGAAATGGGGCCGTCAGATAAGCGGCCCATATGAACTGTTTGTGTTTATGTGTAGGAAAGTGGCCCGTTATTAACATACACTGTTTACCTCTAATAAAAACAGCAGTGCATTTCCGCAGTTTTTTTATTGTTTCTGAATATCCCCTACTTTTTTTGAAGGGTATATTTTGTCCATCACTTATCGTGCCATTGTCTGCAGAGGATGCTGAATTTGGCAAAATTTTCAATTCATTATATCTTTGTAAAAAGATATTCAGCTTTCACAATATTGTAGTTACAAAAATCATTTGAAAGTTTAATATCTGAACTTGTTTCATTAATAAAATTTGGTTATAATTTTCAGCTACCATGATGTGGAGTTCTATAGGAATGGCGGATGAAGACCACAGCAAGAAAAACAGAAAGAAAAGTGAAAGTAGTAACGTAACAGAAGAAACAGGTACTAGTGAGGGTGCGGGGGGAAATGATGAAGATGATCAGGAAGGGGGATTTCCAGACCATGTTACAACTAGCCGAAGTGCTATGACATCAAGTACCGAATCGACTCGAGCTAGAAGTGCTGTACATGCACTCGGAAATCAAAATAATTTTACGACTGTAAGTGATCCTGATAGACCAACTAACGCAGAGCAACGACAAAATCAACAAAATGGTTCACAGAATCCTGCACAAGATGATGAAGAACGTAAGTTAATTTTTAATTATACGCCCACATTGAAATGTGGTTGTATATTGTTGTCGGTCCGTCCTTCGGTCCGGTGTCCACAAGCAATTGTGGACGCTCTATAGGCTAAAGTTAATATCAGATTGACTTTAAATTTATACACAGTGTTTAAGGTCATGAGACCAAGAAGCCTATTGATTTTCAGCGATTTTCGATAATTACTGCCAAAGTTATGGCCCTTGATCACTTTGAAAATCTTGTGACGCTCTAGAGGCTAAAGTTATCATCCGATTGACTTCAGATTGATACACAGAGTTTAAGGTCTTGAGACGAACAAGTATATTGATTTTCAATGAATCTTTATGACTTGAACAGCTAAATCCATGATGTTAAAAGTTTCGTATACTAAACGTTAGCATGGGGCTGAACTTTATAAAAACCAAACAAATTCTAATGGTTTTCTGATAATTACTTAATGAGTTGTTACTCTTAATCAGATTTTAATGTATTATAAATGTTTCATTACTGAAATAAAAAGTAAAAATATGCGAAAACTCTTGTTGACTGCCCGGATGATAAAGCTGCTGTGGGCGTATATTTCGTTGCCTGGCAACCTATCTTTAAAGAATTTCTTGATGGTAGATCTAATAGTTGGGAGCAATGGTGGCTCTAATGCAGGCTCACTAACCAAGGGGTGGTGACCAGTGGTTCCATGTTCAATCCTGGATGTTGACTGAGATAGTTCCTCATAATTTTACATCGGGTTTCCCACTTGTCAGTGGTGCAGGACATAGTCATTCAGATAGGATGAAAAACTCAGGTCCCCCCGTGTTGATGTTAAAGAACCCTTGACAGTTGGAATAAGATAAGGCTGTTGCTGCTGCCTGGTCAAAATATCCCCCTAGCACACGGCGTAGCGTTTGCCCATCTTTATTAGTCCTGTTAGTGATAGTCAACATTCCATTACCATTACCCCAGTCCCAGTACTGCTGTCTATGGCTTTATAGGGGGGTTGGGTCGTCTAGTGTTTTAACACATGCGCATGAAATCACATAATCTGTCATTGAGTCAAGTAGCGTGGTTTCGATTCCCTATTTGTACGCGACAAGGAGTAGGGTTGCCTGTCCCACCTCGTGGTTTTCTCCGGGTACTCCAGTTTCCTCCCACTGCTAAAGACCCCTACGCGCAAGCGAATTGTTGAAATAAAATTGAACCATATGTTAGTCCCGAAATGACCTTGTTTATGTCAAGTGGACATTAAACACCATTTCTCTCCCTATGGCATATGTCTCTGCTTTGCGTGGCTGTCGTTGCCAAATCTTAAGACACCTATTTGTGGTCTGAAACTAGATATTTTCTGTTTATTCTGTGATGTTATTTACAGGTGGAGTAAAATTAGGATTAGGTGATTTTATATTTTATGGTGTATTAGTGGGTAAAGCGTCATCTAATGGTGATTGGAATACAACACTTGCTTGTTTTGTTGCTATTCTTATAGTAAGTACATTTAACATCTAAATAGATCAATTCAACCTATTTGACCGATATTTCATCTATATTTTATATGTTATGTAGTAATGTATTATTATTGTCAGTCCATCCATCAGTCTGTCGGTTCCTTCAAACGCAATTCTTGTTAACACTTATTAACACTCTGTTAACACGATATTTCATCTATATTTTATATGTCATACAGTAGTGTATTGTCTATCCATCAGTCTGTTGGTTCGTTCAAACACAATTCTTGTTAACACTCAATAGATCAGACTTTTTGTGACTTATTGTGGTCAAACTTCCTGGGATTTCTCTGCCTTGTCTTAAGGAGGAACCATATAGATATTAAGAGTTGTGCAACCATTTGTCAATGAGTTATTGCCTATGTCGCTCAAACATTGTAAAACCTCTACAGGTCAGATTTATTTTTCAAACTTACTTGGGTTGTTCAGATTGACTCTGAAAACTCGAATGTCATCCTTCAGATTGTTGCTGGTGGGCATAAATATGATGCCTGGCAACACTGGGGAGATAATCAGGTATTTTACATATTTGTTCGATTTTACATATTAGATTTGTTATTTGTTCTATTTTCCGTGATATTAAATTTGTTCTATTTTACATGATATTAAATTTGTTATTTGTTCTATTTTACATGATATTAAATTTGTTCTTTTTTTAGGGGGGTTAGATGGCCGAATGGTTAGCATGTGCGTGCTGTATCACGAGGCCTGTCATTTAGTCAACTGGCGTGGTTCCGAATCCCCAGTTGTACGTGACAAGGAGTAGGGTTGCCTGTCCAACCTCATGGGTTTTCTCCAGGTTCTCTGGTTTCCTCTCACTGCTAAAGACCCCTACGCGCAAGCGAATTATTGAAATAAAATTAAAACCATATGTTAGTTCCGAATGGACCTAGTCTGTGTCGTGGAAGTTAAACCCCATTTCTCTCTCTCTCTGTTCTTTTTTACATATTAAATTTGTTCTATTTACATGATATTAAATTTGTTATTTTACATATCAAATTTGTTCTATTTTACATGATATTAATTTTCTATTTTACATGATATTAATTTTCTATTTTACATGACATTGAATTTGTTCTATTTTACAATACATGATACTATTTGTTCTATTTTACATGATATTAATTTTCTTTTTTACATGATGTTAATTGGTTTATTTTAAATATTAAATTTGTTCTATTTTAAAAGATATTGTTCAATTTTACATGATATTGTTCTATTTTACATGATATTGTTCTATTTTACATGATGTTGTTCTATTTTACATGATGTTATTTGTTCTATTTTCAGGGTTTATGTTTTACGCTGTTGTTATTAGCAATATTTAAGAAAGCATTGCCAGCTTTACCTATATCTATTACATTTGGACTTGTTTTCAACTTCGCAACCAGTGCTCTCGTACGACCATTTATGGACAGTCTGGCCAGTGAGCAGGTGTACATATGATTTGTATAAAGGGAACAAAGGAATCATTTATAACTTATTGTATCGTATATTTTTGTATTTTTCACATTGGAACAAGAACCATTTATCATGTAATGCTTTAACCTGATTATATTTTGAATTTTTGTATATGTTTTCATTTTCATTTACATGATGTAGGATGTTCACTGTATCCAAGTTTGCTATTTCTTTATAACAATTTTGTCAAGTTGGCCTCCGGATCCATTCACTTGATTTGATATGTTATTTGTTTATTGTTTGAAACGTCTGTGTATATTGTATGTCTTGTTTACTTGTGGTGCGGTCCTCCTGTATTTACGATTAGAACAGAGTTACAGTGAAGCCCTTGTATCTTCTATACTAATAATTGTGACTGTCGTTTGTCTGTCTGTCAGTTGAGGGTTGGCGGCTACACTAGGGCTGTCCTGAGGCTGAAATTTGGGGTATAGGGGTAGCTCGGATGGGGGAGTAACATAGGCCTGGTGGCAGTGGACTACCGCTTCCGGATTCAGAGTTATGCTAAGCGCCGGGTCATCAGCTGGTGTAATATATATGTCACTTTAAACAATATTTTAAAACTATAAAGCTCACCTACATGACATGATTACAGGATTATAAAGGAATTAACTTATAGATATCAGACCAATAACTACACATGGCCGCCATTTTCCTTCAATAGATGATCCTTATCTAACTTATTTCTAGCATACCCTAACGTAAAGAAAATAAACATTTCATCAAATTCATTGAAACCTTATAGAGTTTTTAATGATTTGCTCTAGAGTGGGACTCATTAAGCAAGGATTATCCAGTCCTGAATATTAGTGGGAGATAACCCCTCGTACTTTCCAGAATTTACCAAGAGGTGTGATCAGATGTAAGGATTATAATTATAGTGCAGCTCAATTGTGATTATGTAACTATGTTAAATAAATAATTTTGTCAAATTTTTGGACTTTTTTTTGTACTATAAAAAAAAAAAATGATTGCGCACAAATCTGAATAGCAATACTTTAAATTTAATAATGTTGAACATGAACATTAAGCATATACAGGGGTCTTATTCACATATACTTATTCTAAAATCAATTTTAAGAAACAGACCAGGGCCCTTATTCACATAAACTTAACTGAGATAAAATCCAAATTTTAGTAATTTGATTGGATAATATTAGATTGATTTTAGTGCTTAGCCAATCAAAATTGAGGTATCTACTAAAATTTGGATTTTATCTTCAGTTAAAATTTCGTGAATCAGGGCCCAGCTCATTGGCTGAGCACTAAAACCATGGCACAGAATTTGCCTCTCGGTCAATGAAAAGGCTGGATACTTAAAATATTAAAGTTTTAGTTTTCTTGAATAAGACTCCCCAGATATTTTGAAGAAAAGGTTACATCTATCATTTGACGATCATTAGCCAGTCTGGATGTCATAAACTCTTTATTGGGTGGCCAACACATATTTCAATATTGATTTCAGACTCTACAGAACAATGATTATAATATAATGTATGTCCCTAACCGTGCTAGTAAAATTTGGGAATCATTGTGTCTGAAAACTGAAATATCAATATATTTTTTTGAGTTACTGAAATGTGTGTAAAATTTGAATTGAGCATTGAAGAGTTTATGGCCCTGTGCTTACAATCATGTAAATTATTTACTAGTAATTGTGTAGTAATAATATTTATAGTATATTATGGTTTACTAGTAAATGTATATGTAGGTTATATATATATATATCATACATGTTATTTTTGTTGGTTAAAAATTATATACTTTGATTTTATTATTATTACAATGTGCTGGAAAGGTTTTATTTTATATATAAACTCGACATGTCATCATATGATGGTCAACCTTTCTCTAAATTTTTGCGCGCTGTATCATAAGGTCTGTCATTGAGTCAACTGGCGTGGTTTCAATTCCCCAGTTGTATGTGACAAGAATTAGGGTCGCCTGTCCAACCTTGTGGGTTTTCTCCGGGTCCTCCGGTTTCCTCCCACTGCTAAAGACCCCTACGCGCAAGCGAATTATTGAAATAATATTGAACCATGTGTTAGTCTGGAAATGACCTAGTTTGTGTCGAGTGGACCTTAAACCCCATCTCTCTCTGAAAGAAAGTACCTCTTGATATCACCAATGGCAATAGACCTTTCAATATGGCATCCAACTTTATTTGACATTTTAGGGCACCATGAAGTGCAAATTTTACATGCCATATATCAATGAATACTGATATGCATATCCTTTGCCTTCTTATTGAGGCATTAAACAGATCATATCTTCCACTGGGGGTGGGGGTGCAGTCTAGCAGCAAAGGCACTGCACTCTCAACTAAAATCAAGAGATTTTTCAAGCCAGACTCCCAGATGTCAGGGGTAGCTTTTGATAAACTGACAACAAAAGTGCTATCTAGTCATTTAGATGAGGCAAAAAACCAAGGTCTACCCAAATACACTGCTATCTGGATAAAATTCTCAGACCCTTGTTATGGACCTGGGCCCTTTTTCTCGAAATCTTAACTAAAGATAAAATCCATATTTTAGTAGATACTCCAGTTTTGATTGGCTGACCACTAAAATCAATCTAATATTATCCAATCAAATTACTAAAATTTGGATTTTATCTTGATAAAATTTTGTGAAACAGGCCCCAGGATTTTAGAAACAAAAAGTTGGAGAATAGAAAGAGTAATTGAGATTTACCTGTTATAAGCCTATGGTTTGAATATAGATACAGGTGAACCATCTCCTTTGATATGTAAAATATAGTAATTATAACAAGTATATCATTGCTCATTAATTATATTGTATATAAATTGTATAAATAAGAAGATATATTATTTCCTTTTTATATGAACCATTATTTTCTTTAAGGACTGATTATACTCAAGAATTATACCAAGATTAGTTTTCATTTGATTACTAAGTAATGGGGCTTTCCCAGATAGATATGAAAGAAATCTAGTTAATTTTGTGGACCCTAGACTCTGTGGGGAAAAGGGGAGGGTGTCCTTTTAAGTGTCTCTAATACTAAAATTGTCCAATAAAACCAAATAGATGGGCCCCTTCCCCAGTGTTCAAATATGTCTACGGCCGCGATCTTAATCCCATTCAACAATGTAAAGCTTTCTGATAATTTTGCATATATTGACATAGTTTTCATGGCAACCAGATTTCTTGAGAGTATGGTATATATTTGTCTGGATATGTTTTCAAAGATCCTAGATAATCCAGTCACATAATGTCTGATAACTGATCTGAGTTAGGTAAATCTATTTTTATTCAATCTGATTAAAACACAGATCCTATTTCGTTTCTTTTCTATAGTTCAAAATTTCGTTTTCCTTGTTTTTACTACACTAGGATCTGGAATAGTTATCATTGACGTGTTCTGAATAGTGTGAGATATTAGCCAATGAAACAGTCTGTTACGTTGAGCTTTAGGCGTGTTTTGCACGGAACTGAGGGTAATCCACTAGTAACATCAATGCTGATTGGTTAATCAAATGTCAGACGTCATATGGTCAATAGCTGCTCGTATGACCTCTGACGTGACGTATCGCAACAACCGGTCAGATCTTCATGTAGTGTAGGCCATCGAAAGTATAAAAAACGAAACGAAATATAGATCTGTATTTTAATCAGATTGATTGTTATTTAAACCAACTTGTATTCGTATATTTCTTCCTTCGGTGCTGCTTCATATATTATTGTAGGTGGTCCATTTCATTTGCTTAACTGTACAGCTTATTTTATGATTTACAAGTTTCTATAATATTGTGTTTCCTCATTGAATACTGGTTATTTATCTTGCCCATATATAGACATGTACATAGAAGATATCTGATAGAAGGGATCTTTATTATATCAGATGTTGGCTTTAGGGGTCGCATTTAAGGTTCTGTGGGTACTGACTGTGAAAGGTCACCAGAATAGATAACTTGAATAATCTAGGAATAAATAGTTTTGACTGTGCTCATCTTATGATTAATAAAATGACACATCGTTTGTGATGTCAGAACAGGAACTGTCAGTTATTGTTAATAAACAAGAAACCAGTGTGCTATGGTAGAGAAATTTAGTTACACAGGACGTTGAATGCGGCTTTTCTTTGTGCTGTATTTTGTTTGGGTTAATGTATGTTGTACTGAACATTCCTGTGCTATATATTATAAGATTGCTGTTTTTATCTTTTGGTTTTTTTATGTTCTGTATTTAATCCTTGTCAAATGATGGTGGTCACAAATTATATATAAAACTTTCATATTTATACATTAGTGAATGATTCACTTCAAGCTCTTCATTCACTGTGATGGACAACTTATGTGCTTGCTTTGTGTAATTTATAATAGGAGTAGGTTTGGGATGCCTGTCATGGTGTAAATTGTTGTGGCTGCCTAATTATTCGGTCTAAATTACCTTAATTAAGAGTTTCCGCTCGAATCTCTCTACTTGTCATATTTTCTATTTGCAAACCATAATGATATTTTGAGACTCGAGTTTGTAAGTGAAAATATGACTTGTCACTTATTTCGAGAGGAATTTTCATATCGTAAACTCTTAATTGCCGGAAACACGGCACCATCATATAGGATTGTAATTTGGTATCACGGATTTCCTTAAAATCATGACCAATTGCTTAGTAATTCACTTCGTTAAAATAAAAGTGACAGTTTCTTGTAGAGAATATATGATCTGATATTAAGATACCGGTATTGCCAGAACAATTTTTGAAGACGTCTAGAACATCCCCGTGGTTTCTAGCAAGCTTCATCAACTTCCGGTCATGAAACGCTTATTCCGGTTCTCCAGCTTTATTCATTTAAACAGATCAAATTTTCGTTTTAAATTTGGAAGAAACTGTCACTTTAATGTCTGGGGAAATAAAATCATTTGAATCATTTTATTGTACTCAATCAATCATTGATTATATTTAATTTGGATGACTATTTCACAGTATCTCACATCCCAGACTATGCAAGAAAAAACAACAATAACCATTTAATTATTCTATTTATAAAACAAAATTAATTTCAGTAAATAAATATTAATATACGCTAAATTAGGAGATTTGTCCTTTATATTGTTTCTGTGGGGTGACAAGAAGATTTAGGCCCGTTTCCCATGCGTTTTCGCCAGCGAAAAAGTCGGTATAATGCAAATGTAATGTGGTCGTTTCCATGTAACCGGCGAAAACGCGTCATGGGAAACAGGCTTTAAGTTATCAGGGCGACCTTCGGTTGCGCGGATTTTCGTACTACAATGTATAGTTCAACATGTGGTCGTGACCAGCCATACCATAAGTCAATAGAGCACCGTCGAGATAGTTTAGATAGTGTGCTTGTTTTCGTTAGGATGGGATGAAAACTGGAATATACCCCTTTAAATGTAAATATGATATTTGCCCTATATCTTGTTTCGGCGAGGATAACAAGAAAGGGAAAGTTCGAAAACTGGAATATATCCTTTTAAACGTAAATATGATATTTGCCCTATATCTTGTTTCGGCGAGGCTGACAAGAAAGGGGAGGGACGAAAACTGAGACTACCATGTAAGTTTATAGTACGTAAAGAAACCCCCGACAATTTAACTTTGAAGACAAGTAAGCCAACCGCCACACCCAAAATGATCAGGTGACATCGCTTTCACGTATTAAAAAAATTCGAAAAGGAAAATGCGTCTTTTACTTGATAGAATAAGACAATCTTCATTCCAGAGAAACTTCGTTATCTCTGGTAAAACCCACTGGCCATTAATCAGCGTGAATTCGGTTGTTTAGCTCCGCCCCCCGTTGCTACTGATTGGCAGGATTTGTTACAATGACCAATGAAATGCTGCCGATCTCTGGGATCGAGATTGAGAATAAGATTCAAAGATGTAAATGACGCAAATTATCGTTAGCGTCGACTTGCAATAGTAATGGAGGCTTACCTTCAACGGAATAATTCCGACCAGATCATGACGGATAAACCCACCACTGCACAAAAGGTACACAACACAGTCCTCACGAACGTAGCATAAAGTGAAAACGGAACGAACATAGAGGTGCACCAGAACATAGATAAACCGGTGGGTTCGTTTTGCCAAAAGTTGTACAATAGGATAATGACAGTAATATAATCTTAAATACGTAGATATATTAATTTTACTTCGTACCAGTAAATCAGGAAGCATATTTCTTAGTTTTAAAGAAGCCTCAATCTTGATCAAAATGTCATATTTTGGGCATTTGACCGTTTAGACAATTGGGCAAAACGAACCCACCTGACCGTATATAAATGAAATGTGGTTTAACGTCCTACTGTGCTGCGCCTAAACTGGGCTAATGAAGACGGGCATACGCCATACAGTGTGCTATGAGGGAAATTTTGCCCGGGCAGCGGCGCTACGGCCTACTCTTATATCGAATTCAAACTGCCAAGGGATCTTTTACGTGCACGCCAATATGTACACAGGACTTCGGTTTTTCGTCCCATCCGAAATCTACATCATAATCAATATAGTCAACTTATTGGGGATAATGTTTTAATTTTATTGAATAAAATCGTAACGAGAGTGACAACATGAACTCATACCTGTTTAACAAAATGACAAAAACACCACAAAAAGTAATACAACCACTGTTCCATTAAGCACGAGACATAACAACAACAACCATCAATGGAAATCCGTCACTACATGTGTGAAGTTATAAATTGACATCGATTTTACAAATCAACCGACTGTTGGATAGAAGTTAGTTAATCTGAGTGCAAAAAGAATACAAGATGATTAACCGGCGGATTGATGTCAGGGACTGCAAGGGCTTGCTTTTAGGGCACAGGGTAAAGCTTTAGTTTCAGGGCACAGGGCAAGGATTTGTCAGTGACAACTCTGCGACCGGTTAAAGCCAATTGGAACAACTGCTCCCATTTGGTCCCCGCGCTAGGATAATCTACTTTTTCAATGTCAATCAAAACTGCCTTCATAAACGCAAGAAAGTTTAGGTTTCATTAAAAGAAAGTACATGTAGCCTTTTCTAGTCATTTTTAATAAATCATTTTACTAAAACAGATATTATGGTCCATCAAAAATGTTACCAATTTCTGCCCCGCTGGCCCGAATGCCGGGCCTGCCTCCAAGTTACTTGGATATATTTTTGTGAATATAATCTGAGATATTTATATATTTGTCCAATGGCTTTGCATCACTTTCTATTCATATTTCTTAAATTTTCGTGTTTTTAAATTGTCGGATTCAGGCGGAACGAAATATCAGTAAGTTCACAAATGTTCTGCAGTAGTGTCAGCAATCCGTCGCGAACACAGGCATCTATCTGTCCCCATAATATTAAGAAATGTAGGCAATCCACAGAAAAAAGTTTCTTGAATCGAGCTATAATGGACCCTCTATCACTCCATAGTCTAAACTTCACGACTGAAAAGAATAATAACTACGCGTGATCGTTGACCAGCTTGCGCGAAGTAATTTTATGACGATCGTTTTATGTAAACGTAGTCTGTAAACGTAGTCTATAAATAGCTGCAAAATCAAAAGAAGCGTTCTTTATTCACATAATCTTACTTCAGCCGCCAGATTCCCACATAATATCAATTAAACCAACTTCTGTCACGTCACGTGAAGCTTACTAACCGGCATCCACTGGAATCTTCTAGTATGCCCAACAACCACATATTCACAGTAACAAGAATCATGATGGAACTTAGGTTCAACCACGACAATTTTGCATTGGTAGACGCGGAACTATGGACTTTTTTTCCCAAATTAGGACAATGTATTTCGACCACAGGTTTAGAAGTGGCCATCGCTTGTTTCTGTAGAATCTCATGGAGCATTACGCCCAATGTCCAATCTGAAATACATCAAACATAATCTTTATTTGTGAAATTAAAACGCTTGTCTTTGATATGGGTAAGAGTAGACCATAGTGCCGTTGCCCGGGTAAAATTTTCCTCATAGCACACTGTATGACGTATCCCCGTCTTCATTAGCCCAGCCAGGAGCATAACAGTGGAGCGTTAAACCCAATTTCATTTCATTTCATTTCATTTCATTTCATTGATTAGGCTACTGCCGCGTAGATTCGTCTGTCGTCAACATAACGGTACCTTATTGACAGAAGGCAGGGGCGAAGCTGCTTACGGGCCCTCCTAGGCTGGAACCGGAAGTACACGGTTAGCGGGCCGGGGCAACTTCCTCCCCATTCCCAATTGTCGTTTTCTCCTGTTCAAGAAAACCCCTTTTTGCCCGATTGTCACTTTTCAAGGCGTTGAGAGACTTCAATTCCAGATCCTTCAATCGAGTATCCCCGAAGCATACTCATTACCAATCGATAATGCAATATAAAATATAATATAAAAATTCGAAACGGGTTAAAAAATATCCGCAGCCACAAGAGTGTTTGTTCATGCGGCTAAACAGCAGAGGCGGACGTACCTGTTTTCATTCCGTGAATTCTATCAGAGACAATTATCTTAGACGTTGTTTCATTAAAACCATAAGCTTTTGTGAGAAGAAGTGAAAGATAGACTCCCATTAAACAATATTCTGAAGCATAGCGTTTCTCCTCCTCAGATATCTCAGATATATTCTATAAATAGATAATGTATATATATCAAGGCCTTCTCAGATATATTCTGTAAACAGAAATTTATACATATTATATCAAAGCCTGTAAATAAATAATATACATATATAAAGCCTTCTCAGATATTCTATACATATAGATAATATACATATTATCAAGGCCTTCTCAGATATATTCTGTAAATAGATAACATACATTTAAAGTCAGAGTAGACCAACAAGGATTATTTGTCCCCAACACTAGGCCTACTCGCCGACAATCTCCCTGACTGATCAACGATTTCGCTTCACCGACATTTTATCGGCGATGGTGTGTGTGTGGGGGGGGGGCTGAATGGTTAGCACGTGCGCGCTGTATCATAAAGTCTGTCATTGAGTCAACTGGCGTAGTTTCGAATCCCCGGTTGTACGTGACAAGGAGTAGGGTCGCCTGTCAAACCTCGTGGGTTTTCTCTGGGTCCGCCGGTTTCCTCCCACTGCTAAAGACCCCTACGCGCAGGCGAATTATGTAAATAAAATTAAACCATATGTTGGTCCTGAAATGACCTAGTTTGTGTCGAGTGGACGTTAAACCCCATTTCTCTCTCTCTCTTATCGGCGATGGTTTGTTTGGGACGTCAGGGGACACAGCGGCCAAGAAGTAGGGCACTGGCACTAGAGCGTACGTAAAAGTAACCGTGACGGTAGGAAATGGGGGTTGGGATGAACCTAGTAGTCCAGAGTGTCGTGCTCCGAGCTCTAGCTGGTCGATCACCTCTGACTCGAGGTCGGGGTTTTGATCCCTGCATGGTGTGAGCGTATGTGGTTTGGAGATGGGGGCGCATTCTCAACCTCGTGGGGTAATCGATCGGGTTTTCCCCCACAGGAAAGACCCCTTCGCTAAGCATAATAAAATAAGACAATTTGTTTGCGATATCAACATCGGTGGAAGCGGATGTTAAAGACTAACAGAAGAAGAAGACAGGGAATCGACAATCTGGTTAAAACACAGATCCTACTTCGTTTCGTTTTATATAGTTCAAAATTTTGTTTTACTTTTCAGGAAGAGTTGTTATATAACCCGCGTTCTGGATGATGTGAGAGATTAGCCAATGATGCGGTCTGTTACGAGTTTTTGGCTTGAGGTGCACGGAACTGTGGGTAACCCACTAGAAACATCGACGCTGATTGGTTAATCAAATGTCTGATGCCATAGGGTCAAAAGCCGCTCGTATGACCTCTGACGCAACCTTCCACTACAACTGGGCAGATCTTCATGTAGTAGAGGCGCTCGAAAGTATACAAAAACGAAACGAAATAAAGATCTGTATTTTAATCTGAGTGGGAAATTGAAGAATAATAGACGTAAAACACGCTGCCATGGCAAAGAAGTCCCCCCCCCCCCCAGCATTCTACACGGGAAAATAGAAACATAACCCATGTGATTCTCTATTGACACTAAGTAAAACGTGAATAAAGTACCTTAGCACATTGTAACTCCGCCGCTTCCTGTAGCTGAGTTATATTTAACGTCTTGGAATCATCCAAGGCGTTCAGACTAATCGGTGCATATTTAAATGCTCCGAATGCATAGAACGTAATATTGGAGACGTGTGGTTGATATACATGACCAATGGCACATGGTTTAGGGCTACACTCGTCACCTTCAGCTTTCTCTATAAATGATTGTATAATATGTTGACATTGTGTTATATTACCACTGCCATGTAATATCATCGTTTTATTGTGACGTTTTACCTTTGTGTCGTCACCTGAAAAATATAGGAACAGATAAGATACTGAAATCAGAACTCACGGTATAAGTGGGGTAGACAGGAATTTGTTGCAGATTTGCTGGGGCTTAAATGATCTAGTCATTTGGATGGGACGAAAAACCGAGACCCGTGTATATGTTGCGTGCAGGTAAAAGAACCCTTGCCAGATGGAATTCGGCGAATGGTAGACATGTTGCTGATAAGGACATTAAAGAACGATGTCTAAGTGAGTAAGACGCTGGCTTGCTAGCATGGAGATCGCGCTTTGGCCCCGGTGTGGGCTGAGAAGGTACTCCGGTGTGGTTTCCCCTTGCCTGTGGTGCAGGACGGAGGGCCCGACAAAGACAGTTGCATAGTCGTTCGGATGGGACGAAAACCCTTAGCAGTTGGAATTCGATATAAGAGTTCGGGTAAAATGTCCTTCATAGCACACTGCATGGCATGGCATATCCCCCTCTTCATTAGGCAGCCGGAGCAGCAGAAAAGTAGGACGTTAAACCACATTTCGTTTCATTTCATTTGTATACACACTGCAACATAATTGGACCCAAAACAGTTAGAACCAGAATAAAAGAAGCCGGAAACCCACCCCTCTGTCCGTTTTCAAATGACCAAAATGTTTGTCTCAAAGTGACAGAAATAACTGCCTTGGTAAGACATTATGCATCATTCCATTTTATTCCATTGTTTTTGTTAATCAATGATAAAAGTGAAACTCACCTACTAATCTACAAGGATCAGATATATGGGGTTTATTATTATAATGATGTAATAACCAATTATTAACTCGATGTTTCATATAATTCTGACCAAAATTAAGATAACTGTGAACGTAAAGATCGTAACGTCGTTTCGCCACGTAAAGATGAAATTCACCGTCATACAGTGGATCATGTGGTATGAACGATATTTGTGTTGATCCACCTCCCATCTCTAAAATACCTACAGGTGAAACAGGTGGTCTGAAATACAAACAATGTCTACAGGTTATACAGGTGGTCTGAAATACAAACAATGTCTACAGGAGATCAAGTTGGTCTGAAATATAAACAATGCCTACAGAGGATCCCGGTGGTCTGAAATACAATGTCTACAGGTGAGACGTGGTCTGAAATATAACAATTATGTCTATAGGTGATACATGTGGTGTGAAATACAAACAGAATCTACAGGTGAGACGTGGTCTGAAATATAAACAATATCTACTGGGGTACAGGTGGTCTGTAATATAAACAATGCCTACAGGTGATCAAGTTGGTCTGAAATATAACCATGTCTACAGGTGGTCTGCAATATAAATAATTACTAAAATACCAACAGAAGATATAGGTGGTCTGAAATAAAAACAATGTAGGGTTATAATTATGCTGAAAAATCTATGCGTGCTGAGTTGTAGTATAGGCTTGTTCAGTAAAATTAACTCACCCAGTAAAATTAACTCACCCAGTAAAATTAAAGAAACCAAGAAGATAATTAGTTGATAACCAGGAATATACGCCTTCTTCTTCACCAGATAATATCTGTATATTGTTAGCTTTAAAATCAAACGGATTGATGGAAGAATTGGACAATATCTTTCTGATATTCTTCACAAAATGTCTGGCATCATAACCTGTCAATGTCCTGGTTCCTGTAATAGACGAATGATTATATACTGAGACACAATGAAAACCCATCAATGATTTGTCAGGAAGCGCTGACAAGCCACAATGTAGATGAAGAAGTGTGGTTTTTGGATGATTGCAGACACGGCGCAAGAAAATTAACAACAACCCACGGAGGCCACAACATCTTTACACGTAGTTTACAGTGAAACATGGACAATCGTGGTAAAATTAAAAGCCAGTAACGACGCATACTCCTCGCAGTGTTTCGTTTGATTAGACCTTATCCCAGGGATTTCTCGGGCTATTGCTTCAGGAATATGGTAACGATGATGACGCAGAATTCGTCGAACCTTCGTTGACCAATCACAGCAGCGGCAATACGGGGAGCTGACAGTGTGCGATTCTGCGGATGTAGTCGGATAAAGTACCGGTCTTTCTGGGACATAGTCCTACGTTGCCGCCCATCTCAGGATGGTTGTGTGGTGGCATCTAAACCTTCGAGCAAAGAATCTGGTCCACACGCCCTCTTAAAGGTGTGTTCTAGGTGTCCAGATGTCAATTAATTCAGTTTACATCTAAACAACAGCTATATATATAACACTATATATAACGGCATGCGAGTATCCCTTTGAATGCAAAATTTACCGGAAATTGAGTTGCAGACGTTAACATTTATCTATTTCTGATCACTAGCATATATTTTATTAAGAAAGGAAATTTGGTGAGATACACACCTGTCTTGTATCTTCATAATGTCAAGGTGTTATGACATTATATGATAAAATAGGATGCAGCTTATGGGGGGTAGCGGAGGGGGCTATAATATAGTCGAGAGGTAAGGCCACTCGAGCCTCGACAAGAAAGAGAGAGAGAGAGAGGAGAGAGAGCGAAATGGGGTTTAAAGTCCACAAACTAGGTCATTTCGGGACTAACATATGGTTCAATTTTATTTCAATAATTCGCTTGCTCGTGGGGTCTTAGCAGTGAGAGGAAACCAGAGGACCCGGAGAAAATCCACGAGGTTGGACAGGGGACCCTACTCCTTCTCACGTACGACCGGGAAATCGAAACCACGCCAGTTGACTGAATGACAGATCTTATGATGCAATGCGCACGATCTAACCATTCGGCCATCCAACACCCTTGACAAGAATCTGGTAGCCATGTCAGGGTTAACGTGGTGCCTAGTTCTTTAAGTTGAAACGCCACCGCCCGGGTGGAATTCTCCTCCATAACCTTGCATACGGTAACCATGAAATGACAGACGCATTATGTGGACGAGGCGAATAACTGTCTAACTTTCATTTCATATTCGCTAAGGACGACCGCCCGAGCATTAAATTTGTTAATATTCCAAAGGCCATTATGTTGTACGCCGAAGGATGACGTGGTTTTGTTATTCATCAAGAGTGTCAGGTAATCTTATGTTGTAATCTAAAACTTCCTTTTATGAGTAAAGAATTTGAATTTTAAACCAGAAGTTACAGCTGTACCGTACTATTCCGATTTCATGTTTTCTCAGAAATTAAATTAAACAATTTGCAACATGATAAACATGTGACAGCGGGTATTTTAAACCTGAACATGAGTCAGTATCATGTGTGTCACATATAGGAACTTGCTAAAATCTTTATTGTTCAAATAAAATACTGTAATGTTGGTTATTTAATCAGCGTTGCAAAGTCACACAAAGCAAATGATCACCTATTTGATTGAAATTTAAATTCTTTCGTCATTGGACTTAAAGGAGCTAAATATTTGGGACCTAGAAATTTACCCAAATGGGTCGCAACACATATAATAATGTAATCTGATTGTATATAAACTGATTTACATTCAATTGTTTCCGTTTTGACTCTAATTTAAAATCAGTTATGTCCAGCGAAATACGGCCTGTGTCTCAACCCTATAGCAATTTCTAGCGTCTGGTTATTCCAGTCTATTGAGCAGGCTCTCCAGTTGAATGTCTAGCCTCGTTCTTTCTGGTCACTTGTTGCAAATGACGCTAAAACGCACTATGGTACACGATTCGTGTACCAATGGTAAAATGTTTATTTTGTCTTAAATATTGGATACCAGAAGCCTTTCTTTTCCTGGTAAGATTACAACATCAATGTTGATTTGAATTGACAAATAATTCGTATTTTCAACGTGTATGACTTTGGATGATATTGAGTTAGCTACTTTAAACTCAACCCACAATACATTTAATGAAAACCGCAAGTTGATTCAAATAGATGTTTTAGAAAAACAGCTTATTTATATTTCTATGGTTAGATCTAATTTATAAGGCCACCTTCAAATTTGGTCAAAGGTCACGAGATGTATACAGGGCTAGCGCTAACCCTACCCCTAACGCTGGACCTAGCCCTAACCCTTACCCAAACCCTAACCCACAATCTTGTCAACAATTACGTGCACTAACCATATTTACATCTCGGCGACCTTGACGAATTCTAGAGGCGTTCTTAAGAAATAGATCTAGCTATATTATTATCAAAGACAATATCGAGCATTTACAAAAACTGGTTTTATTTCACATCAGTTTGTATTTTGCCAGATACCAGAAACTGTGCACCACTGCCAATACTCGTGTTTCAGAAAAGAAGGAACAGACATTAGGACTGGGACAATTTGGTGGACTGATTGCCATTCCAATATATCGATACATGCAAGACAGATCATCGTACCTCTTACATACGACTTTTTGACATAATAGTACCAGGACTTTTATTTTTAGACTTCTCTTCAGTGTCCTTTAAATAGCCCGGTGACTTTTATGTCGACTATTGTTACCGGCCAGATTGTCTCATTTCAAAGTTCGTCGGGATTTTCCTGCTTGGTTTCCCTTGTCAGTGGTGCAGGGCGGAGGGCCTGACAAGGTCAGCTGTGTAGTCGTTCGGATGGGACGAAAAACCGAGGTCCCATGTACACATGTGCGTGCACGTAAAAGATCCCTTGGCAGATGGAATTCGGTATAAGAATAGGCCGTAGCGCCGCTGTCCGGGCAAAATTTCCCTCATAGCACACTGTATGACGTATACAATCCTCAATAGCCCAGTCGGAGCAGACCAGTAGGGCGTTAAACCCCATTTCATTTCATTTCATGTCTCATTTCAGAGATAATTGCCTTACGTAGGACTGTTCTCACTAATCCATATACAATTTTGAGTGTTATATATGTTTATCAGGGTTAATCATAAACTCTAAACCATACAAATCTTTTTGTTTTTCTAGAAGCTGAGGGAGGGGGGGGGGGGGGGTGGATGGCCGAATGGTTAGCACGCATCATAAAGTCTGCCATTATTGGGTCAACTGGCGTGATTTTGATTCCCCGGTTGTATACGTGACAAGGAGTAGGGTCGCCTGTCCAACCTCATTGATTTTATCCGGGTCCTCCGCCCCCCCCCCCCCACTGCTAAAGAGCCCTACGCGCAAGTGAATTATTGAAATAAAATTGAACCATGTGTTAGTCCCGAAATGACATAGTTTGTGTCGAGTGGATGTTAAACCCCACCCCTCTCTCTCTCTCTCTCTCTCTCTCTCTCTCTCTCTCTGAGCTGATGGGCTCTGACTTTCGCCTCAGCATTTGCTACTAACCTGCAGTCGACATGACGTACAAAGGTATCTGTGTAAAATCTACTATATCCTCTGTATTATTGATATACTCTACAGCTATATCTATCGCCTCCATTAATTCTCGCTTTAATTCGTCTTCATCATGGGCAAGATCCTCTAAACTAACTTTAATCCTTTTATTGTGGGCCAGATGAATTTCTGGAACGTCAGTGGGATTCGCTTCATCATTGAACCATCGATATATCCTGACCTTGGTGCTGCTGCTTCCCACATCAAGAATGACACCATATTGGTTTTTGTTGATCACAGAATAATGTTTTTGGAATGCTGGTTGGATAAAAACACCAATAAATAGTATCAACGGTAAGATAAACTGGCCATCCATCTTGAAGTTCCTTCAAATGTCTTCTATCACATTTCACAATCTGGGTCTGAAATTCGACAAAAATAAATTTTAGTCATTTAGTTTCGTATTTAACGTGAAAATGGCGAGTAACAACCGGGTTTATTTCCGTATCTTCCAGAAAGAATCCAAATCCCAAAGTTTATTTTAATTTCTGGGTCCGACATTCGAAGAATTCAAATATTACTAAGACTTGTATGAGTCAATTACGGAACTATTTCTATAACTATCAGAAACAATTCAAATCCTACTCGTATATTTAAACTTCTGGGTCCGAAAATTCGAAAAATTCAACTATCATTAATATTAGTCACGTCGTTTCGTATCAAAAGTAAAAATGCTGAATAACAAGCGGAACTATTTCTATGCTTAACAGAAACATACCAATCCTGCGCGTCTGTTTTAACTTGTGCGTCTGTCAGACGGAACTATTTCTATGGCTAAACGAAACATATGTATACTTTAACTTCTGGGTCTCATAATTCAAAAATAAAATATTATCAACATAAGTCACTCAGTTTCTTATTAAAAGTTAGATTAACAAACGGAACTATTTATATAGTACCAGAAACACACCAAATCCTACACGTATATTTAAACCTCTGGGTCTGAAAATCCGAAAAAATAATATTATCACTTTTAGTCACGTAGTTTCCTATAAAAGTGGTAACTATGTCTATGGCAACCAGAAACACTCCAAACCCTACACGTATATTTTAACTTCTAGATCGGATAATCCGAAACATTCAAATATTATCAGTATTAGCCATTTTAGTTTCGTATATGAAAAGTGAAAATGCCGAATAACAATCGAATCTATTTCTATGGCTAAAAGAAACATACCAAATCATACGGGTCTATTGTAACTTCTGCATCTGACAAATGGAACTATTTCTATGGCAACCAGAAACACACCAAACCCGACACGTAATCCAAAAAATTCAAAAATATTATTAGTCACTTGGTTTTATATTAAAAGGAAAAACAACAAACGGAATTATTTTTATTGCCACCAGAAACACACCAAATCCTACACGTATATTTAAACCTCTGGGTCTGACAAACGAAACTATTCCTATGGCTAACAGAAACATCCAATCCCTACAAATATATTTTAACTTCTGATTCAGATAATCAGAAAAAATATTATCAGTATTAGTCACTTGATTTGTTGAAAAAATAAACGGAGAAAAACGGAATTTAAATTTGTTATTCAAAACAAACCGTCTTTTTCTATAGCTAACAGAAACACAACATATCCGACTTTTCAAATTCCCAACAAATTCCACGTTATATAAATTCAAAATTTTCGTATGAAGTAGTTTTGTAAACTGGTAAATCTGTTCTCCATTCAGTTATCTGTGTTACCCAATAATGACCAAACAATAGAATACGAACCAGACGAGATCGTTTCGCGCCATAATAAACAACACCTCGTTGTTTTCATAGAACTCAGACACTAACTAGTTCCAGGGGCGCCTGTTCTTGGTTCTCGTTATATAGAAATTATCTGATATTATTAAGTTGATATTTATGTGGTTACATGAAGAACTCTGATTACTAGATTTCATAATAATAGACCACTATTTGATCTGTGCAACATGTGTTTGTCCATGGGTGGTTTACAACCATTATGCCCTTTATGACTAAAACCACTCAATAACTATAGTGTATAGAGTTTTATGTATTGTGATATTGACATTATAAAGCGGGCCACCATTATCATAGTTAAGATCCCCACTCTCATTTGATCCCTCCTTAACCCCCTTCTCCTAACCCCCAAGCTCTTCCTCTTAAATAATCTGAATTATCATAAAACTGTTTATATTGATTATCCCATGGACCTTATAATAGTATTATAAGATCCATGATTATACTTTGCAACCTTGATTCCGTAAACTCTGACCAGTTTGGGTCTAATAGTTACATGTAGTGAGGAAGTATATCGGACATGGTATGCCTAGTCTTTCCGGAACACCCGATACCGCGTATCAATGGCGTCATCCGGGTTCACTATTTTGTCTCCGGGGCAAAGAAAATTCCGCCTTCTTTCCTCCGAATTCCAATTGTCAAAGGTTATTTTACGTGTACGCCAGTGTGTACACATGTCTGCAGGATTACTTGTTTGCCCCATCCGAACGACAAGACACTTTTCTTTGCCCGGCCCTCTGCAGTGATAAAACCCAAATTAAGACAATACAAAATTGAAAGGATGTACTTCAAACTGCTCGATTCTAATTTAAATTGTAGCCATTTAAAGTTTACATTCGTTTCTATTGATTTCATACCGCCATCTTTATATGACAATTCTTTGTGACTGGTTAGCCACGGTGGCTCAGTGTAGGACGTTGGCTCGCTAAACTTGATCTCCCGTTTTCGATTACTGCATTGACTGGAAAAGTTCGTGCAAGAGAGACAACGTATAGTCACTCACCCGAGTGGGACGAAACACCGAGGTCCCGTGTACACATTGGCGTGCACGTAAAACATCCCTTGCCAGTTGGAAGTCGAAATAAGATTAGGTAGTAGTGCCGTTATCCGGGCAAAATTTCCCTCATAGCACACTGTATGGCGTATGCCCTTCTTCATTAGCCCAGTCGGGAGCGATTCTTTTTTTTTATACTATGCGTAATTACACAATGAAAGTAAAATAGTACCATAGAGATATGTGACCAATCTGGCATGCTTCGCCTTTTCATGAATAACTGCAAGTAATATTTTCAAGCGATTCGCTGCATTTTTATTCTCGTGCCCTTGAGAACCACACGACTCCTCGCTCATTCTTATAAATGAATATGAACAACCATGATACGATTTGGTTTTATGCTCTAATCAAATTAAGATTTCATTGAATGATTCTTCAGAAGAAGATGTAGTTTTCTGTTTTACCCTTCAGATATCGTTCGACTCTCTAAACTCTTTTTTATCTGAAAGTATCTATGGATTTTTATGGTATCTGTAATAATGATCAGCAGAAATTGAATTATAGATTGCGTAACAAACCACTAAACAAATTAACAAGTTGATTATTACATAGCGTTACTAGGTTACGTCAGCACTTATCCATTCATCTTTTCTTAAAGGAGCCAAATCGCTATTTTTTAAAAACTTAAATGGACACAACTGTGTCGCAAGCATACAGTAATATACTGTAATATGAATGTATATAAACTGATTTACATTCAATCTTTTCTGTTTTTACTGTAATATCTAATCAGTTATGTTTGGCGAAATACGCGAAGAGTCCAAATATTTAATTCAATGGCAGCCTTTGGCGTCTGGTTATTGCAGTCTACACCGGTAGTATTCTCCTGTCGGATATGTTTAGCCGCGTTCATCGAGTCGCTTCATTACAAATGGCGTTCGAAAGCATCCTGGCATCTGATTCATGTGCCAATTTTAAAATTTTCATTTTGTCTTAAATATCGGATATCAGAAGCCCATCTTTTCACGGTAAGATAACAACAGCATTGTTGATTTATATTGACCAATAAGTCGTGTTTGCAATGTCCAATGGACTGTGGATGATATTGAGTTAGCGACTTAGCCACTTTAAATGTAATATGGTGGCAACGTTAAAATTTGTAGATCTTGTATTAAACGTTCCTATCATGTTAGTTTTGTGGGTTGAGGGGGGGGGGGAATCAGGCAATTTCTGTGGGCGGGGATTGGTATCAGGCAAGGGATATTTAAAGATACATTATGGGAGATTAGATAAAGAGTTGGTAGTTCTCACTATAATAGTTAAAAACTAGATAATGTAAAGGCAATTTGCTGAAAATTTCAGTCAGATTGATCCACTATGAATCGAGAATTAAGCGATTGAAATTTCGGCCTATCCTCGATTATCAATACTAAAGTCAGTACGATAAACAGCATAGTCCTGATCATCCATGTCATGATTAAATTATGAATAGAAGTCGAGCAGCAAATGGGATTATAATCCAGTAAACATCGCAAGCTAGCGATGCCATCGAGAGTTGATTATGGTCTGGATAAGTTAATTAATGTCTACTTAATAATTTAGATTACATTTCAGGCCTAAAGAAAGACATGTAATTGGCAGATTTAGCTCTTGCATAATGCATGTTTAATTATTTACGTGAATAAATCTAATATATAAGTCCCTATTACCTATACTACATTGCACAGAATAATAAGTCAAAAAGTAAATTCGATTAAAGGGGGTATGGCTCGATCTATAAGCGTGTAGTGCGGTCCTCCTGCTCTTACTATTAAAGATACATTATGGGAGATTTTATTAGAGAGTTGGCCATTCTTGCTATAACAGTTCAAAAATAGATGATGAAAGAAGAATGTATTGAAAATTTCAGTCAAATTACTTTATTCTGAACAAAGTTATCACAATTGTAATTTTTGACTAGAAATAGGAGTCAACTCTCTCTTCACCGTCTCCGAGAATGGCCGATCGTTTGATTGACAGGCGTTAACTCCACCTACATAATCTCGATTATCAAGTAACGTTTTCAATGGCTGTGGTACCGTTAGCCTATCCGGTTTGAGACGGGGTTGCAATTCAATTCGTATCACATTTATTTTTACTACAAATTAAAAATAAGACTTTTAATATATAGATAAGACGCGAAAGTTTGAAAGGAATGGGCCAAATCAATGAGGCATAATTATAGCCGACTTCTTGTTAGCCTGCGTGTACTCTTGTACTGTAACTGGTAGGCCTACGTAACTCCCGAAGCAGACAAATAGGAAACAGTGATCCAATGCAATGGGGCTGCAATTCAACCTGGGGTGAAGTTAGCTGCGACGTTTATCAATTTCCATATTTTTTCTGTAAACGCAAGTGACAAAAGAGCGTATAATACCGACATCCAAACTCTCATTTTAACCACAACTAAACATAATATCAAGGCCGTATATATCGAACTTTCAATCAAATTGACTGACATGCAGCCTCGCCCAACAGCGGCCTCGCTTCGTGCACTCTATCATTTAGCCTCGATCTAAAATTTCCGGGAGTACGACGTCAACGTAACGGAAAACCTCCCCTTACGACGCCATTTAAAAATTTAATCAATCAATGAAATCCTGTTTAAATCCAAGCCGAATCCAAGCCATCCGTGAATCTACAGAGTTGATTTTGTACTTGTTATGTAAATAAAGATCTAATTCATAATTTCTATGACATCTGAAGCCTAAATAAAGACTTGCAATAATCAGATTTAGCCCTAGCATAATGTATGTTTAAATTAAGCGTTAGTAATTGACGTCATCAATACCGCTAGAAAGAATCCAAGAAAAGGGTAGAACATCTTTAAGAAAAAGCGACTTCAAACATAAACTTTCATATAACGGGGCGTTTTGTTTTTAAGAAATATTTCAAACAGAGTAGGTTTATTATTGTTGTGATGCGCAGTTCTATATACGAGATTCACAGATGTTAAATTCTTTATTTTTAAAAGAAGGCCAGTGTGAATGTTTGTATTTATTTAGTGAGAGTTCTACTAGCGATAACTGGCTCAAAATAAGTTCAACTGGTGTACTAAAAAATGTCAGATAATAACTGATTGTACTCGATAAATCAAAATGTACTCTTAAACTTTAAACTTTGTTTTATACAAACACGTATTCAAACAGAGAGAGAGAGAGAGAGAGAGAGGGGGGGGGGCGTAAAGTCCACGCGACATAAACTAGGTCATTTCTACTGCGGTCTGCTCTGGTTGAAATGAACAGCTTACTGGACTGGGGACTGGGACATAAATGACGTATATAAGCAACCTAGCCCCCAAACTTTTAATACATATACTTTTCTATATATGCTCAAACAAAGATTGTGGGATGTTAATGTCCCGGTTTGAATATATTATGTTAAAATTTTATATAATTGTGTTATAACTAACCCAAAATAGTCAGTTTTATCATAAAACTAACAAAATATTATGATAACCGGTAATTCTTAAAATTGCCGCATGTACAAACGTGTCAGGCACTGAGCCAATTTGGAATCAATGCACATAGGATAGTGATAGACACCGGTAGACAATGAGAGGAATGGGAGGACATATAAAAATTGTACCATCTGAGATATCACTTCTGTAGAAGCAGACGTTAAAGCACCAGGTAGTAGAAGTGGAAGTTGGACATCAGTTCTTCTTCATTGCTCCACTTACAAGATTCTCAGGCAAGACATTTTTGCGCTACCTCTCCGTTCCAACCGGGCTAATGAAGACGCACATGCGCTACGGAGTGTGATATGAAAGAAATGTCACCTGAACAGCCAAGTTTCCGCCTATAAAGACGCACATAATGTAGGGTGACCCATGTACTCACAGAAATACAGTCCACCGCTGATAGTTCGAGACTACCACTGAAGCGTGCACATTCGCCGTGCCGAGACCAACTTTCTGACAGTATGATACTATAAATAGCCATGGCACGTGCAATTCTCTACAAATCTATCAACTATTACAGCCGTAAAAAATTTATTGTTGACGATTTTGAATAGCAGTAAAATTAAGCTTCTTGGTTATTACAGCAGATTTAGAAATTACGTTCGTTTCATTTTTTAAATCGCTTTATCATTAACTGTACCGTTAAGAGCGGCATCTTTTGGTTTAGTTCAAATAATATCTTTGAATCACTCGGGTTAGACAGGAACATGATACTAGCAGTAGTTTCATTTTACTTTTACAAGGTTCTTAAAACGATTGTTGAACTACCTAACGTGCTTATTTCTAAATTCAATTTCTTGTTCTAGCTTTCTGTTATGTTTCGTAAAAAAGTAGTCTTGATTATCCCGACCTGTCAATCAGACGTAGAATGGTCGATAGACTGGTTAAGCGAGACTAATTTCAAAACAAGGGTACGTAACCTATCTTTTACTCAAAAGTGTCTGGATGTTATGGACGACTCTTGGAACCAGTTTTCAGTCTATTATTTATACGTGATTAATGGTCATAGCTTATTAAGTACAACATGATCGTTCATTTAGTGACTACAATTGTGTGAAACTGATTTGAGGCATGGCATATATATAAATATTGTGGCGTAATTGTCGATATATATGGAGATATTTATTTATGGTGGGTCACCCTATGGAGTGTGTGATATGAGAGAAATGTCACCCGGACTGCGAAGTTTCCGCCTATTCTTCCTCGAATTACGAGTAAGCAGATGATTCTTGGGTTTTTAATCCATCTTAACGACTAGACAATTTTGCTTGTCAGTCCACCAGTTCTGCACCTAATAAAGTGATACCAAGATATTGTTCTCTTTCTACTATGCCGTTATTGTTCAATTTCAGTTTATTTATGTCCAATTTTCGTTAAATGTACTTTTTGACTTCAAAGTATTGTGTGTGGGCTTTTTTAAAACATCAACAACCACCTTCAGGTGTTAACCGAGTACGTTTTCTAAAGTTAACCCATCACTTCCCTCGACTACACTATCTCCTTCTTCACATTAATCAAAATATGTTCTGTTTGTAAAAAAACTGTGAGGTCGCGGTTTCGATCCCGCTGTTGGACGAGAAAGTTCATCGTGGTTTCGCCTTGTCAGTGGTGCATGGTGGAGGGCCTGACAAGAACATCTGTTTAGTCGTTAGGAGGGGAGGGAAAATCGAGGTCCCATGGACAGATTGGTTTATGCATAAAAGATCTCTTGGCAGTTGGAATTCGATATAAATTTCCCTCCTAGGGATCGAACACGGGACATCTTGGTTAGTGATCAGACGTCTTACTCACCGAGCCACAACGGCTCCCATTCCTAAACACAGAAGTAAAAGTTAATCTACACAACTTACCTGACCACGTATAAAATCCACTAATGACGGACTCTTATCTGAATAAACTCTTCTGTTTCTTCCTAATTACCTCTCTAAGCTATCACTTGATACCAGTCATAATATACACAGTAGGTATATAAACAAACAACTAGGAATTATACCTACTATATCAACACTATACCGTGTTCAAAAAATCTCCACGTGGCCAAATCGCACACTTAATTTAAGTAAATAAAAGTTTACGTTATCCAACAATAAGATCAAGACCAATTTTCTAGTAGCCCACTGTGTGTGTAGGATGTTGTATTCCAGTATTTATTGTTCTATCGTGAGTAGCTTTGTTTTTATACCAACCTTAACCACATGGTATACAACTCGACTCCACACTGCCCATGATCGCATCTGGAAGAATAATCAACGATAGAAGGCTTCTGTCGCTTATCAAGACAATTACATTAATAGGGAGATAAATGTGATGTTTACACTTCATAAAAAACATAAAGTAAACATGGGTCGCCCATGGCGATATGAAAGCTCTGGTGCTGCTGTATCTCTTTTCCGACAATAACAAAGAGAGAGAGAGAGAGAGAGAGAGAGAGACGTGGTTCGATCCCTGCTGTGTTGGCCGAGACTGTTACTCGGATTTTTCGGCGTCATTTCCAGTTGTCAGTGATGCAGGACGAGGGGCCTGGTAAGGAATAGTGTCTAGTCGATCGGATGGGTCAACAAATCGAGGTCCCGTGTACACATTGGCGTGTGTACGCATAAAAGCACAATATAAGAGTAGGCCGTTGTGTTGCTGTGCGGGCTTATGATCGTCTTTATGAAGTAGGACGTTGAACCCCATTTCAGTTAATTGGGCTAAAACCGGGGAATATCGAGAATTACCAAAGGTCAAGGTTTTGTTTTAGTACAAACCGTTATATAACAGATTATGATTGACAGAATTTTATTAGTTTTATTTCGATCATCTCTTTATCTACATACAAACCTTTATCAACTACCAGCATTAATCTCTCAGTATGTTAAATATAGAAATGAAATGAAATGGGGTTTAACGTCCTACTGTTAGTTATATATAGACAATTTCCCATGAACTGTTGGGTCACCCTAACACGTGGCTAACAAACCACAAATATTCATGTCGATAAGCAAACATATTTCAAACATACCATCTTATGCAATTATTATATCATGTGAGATCGGGGTTGGATGGCCGAATGGTTAGCACGTGCGCGCTGTATCATAAAGTCTGTCATTGAGTCAACTGGCGTGGTTTCGAATCCCCGGTTGTACGTGACAAGGACTAGGGTCGCCTGTCCAACCTCACGGGTTTTCTCCGGGAAACCTCCGTTTTCTCCCACTGCTAAAGACCCCTACGCGCAAGCGAATTATTGAAATAAAATTAAACCATGTGTTAGTCCCGAAATGACCTGGTTTGTGTCGAGTGGACGTTAAACCCCATTTCCCCCCCCTCTCTCTCTCTCTCTCTCTCTCCTATATTATGTGAGACTATATCGCCATCCCTTATCATACACTGAAAAACAGGGAAATAATGCTCACAACAATTTAACGCGATCAAGAAATAATTTGTTAAATTCATCCAATCGCAATACACATTAATCTTAGTACACACTTATTTCCGCCTCCTTAAATTCGCAGTAATTTTGTGACGCATTATTTTGTCATTTTACAGTATTTGATATCAACAACATTTAGTGTCCAAACGGAGAATCCATTTTCGGGAACTAATGCAGAAACATACCAACTAACATGACAGTGCTTAAAAAGAGAATCGAAGTACACTGTAACATCAGATCGTAAGATAGCTACAAGATCAGACCGTAAGATAGCAACAAGATCAGATCGTAAGATAGCAACAAGATCAGATTGTAACATAGCAACAAGATCAGATCGTAAGATATCAACAAGATCAGATCGTAAGATAGCAACAAGATCAGATCATAAGATAGCAACAAGATCAGACCGTAAGATAGCAACAAGATCAGATCGTAAGATAGCAACAAGATCAGATTGTAACATAGCAACAAGATCAGATCGTAAGATAGCAACAAGATCAGACCGTAACATAGCAATAAGATCAGATCGTAAGATAGCAACAAGATCAGATCGTAAGATAGCAACAAGATCAGACCGTAAGATAGCAACAAGATCAGATCGTAAGATAGCAACAAGATCAGATTGTAACATAGCAACAAGATCAGATCGTAAGATAGCAACAAGATCAGACCGTAAGATAGCAACAAGATCAGATCGTAAGATAGCAACAAGATCAGATTGTAACATAGCAACAAGATCAGACCGAAAGATAGCAACAAGATCAGATCGTAACATAGCAACATAACAAGCAGCAAGAAAAGAATGGTAACAAGGTACGACCGTTAAAAACATGTCCAACACAAAATAACACAGTTTAAGAAAATATGGAATCGCATCAGCGCATGACTATATATTTGGTTCATGCATATGATACACGGTCCAAAGAAAACAAGTGTATCGGCAGATAGGTAGATCAAATTGATATTTTATTTTTAACATGCGCATTAAATCAAACCGAAGGCGTGAATTTGGTTGTGGGTTAGTTTACCATTAGTTCTATTTCTGCTTTATATGTTGATATAACTGATAGATTAAACATTCTAATTCAATTAAACTTTAACCTCAACAAATGGAAAACGTGATAGATAACATAAAAAATACTGTCGATTATTAAAGGTGGCCTGGTAAGTATAGTGCTGACCAAGTAACCAGGAGGTCCGGTTAGATCTAACCCTAACCCTAACCCTGGACCTAGCCCTAATGCTTGCCCTAATCCCAGCCTTATTTACATCTCAGCGACCTTGACGAAGATTGAGCTGGCCTTAACAAATCGATTTAGCCAGGAGGTCCCAGTTTACGCCCTCAGAATTTCCTGGTTCGACCCCGGAATTTCCAACACGGTTTCCTGCTGTCGATAGTGTCGGTCGGATGTGACGAAATCCAAAGTTCAGCCGTTTGGAGTGTATGTAGCGGAATCCATGACGGTTGGAATTAGAGAAATTGTATAGACACCAATGCTCTTCATGGCACACTGTATTACTAGCAGCTCATTTCATTTTCATTATTAAACGCCAACATTTAAGACACAATCAAAAATAATCTACCAAGAAAAATGTTGGTCCAAAAATTATGGTGCGTTGGAATCATGTCACATTGATCTATATTTCGTTTCATTTTTTTTTTATAATATATACTTTCCATGGCTTACCCTATCACACTGCTACACTACATGAAGCCTATGTAGGAAAGACAAGTAATACGGAAATTTGAACTATAAAAACGAAGCGAAATAGGATCTGTGTTTTAATCAGAGTTTGGCGTCCACGGGTCAACTTTTGATTCTACTTGAAAATTTGAAGTTACCTGATTCGAGCTTGATCAGAAATTACAATTCTGTTTTAATTTCAAAAACATTAGCAATAACAAAATAGAGTAATGGAAAATTATAAACAATCTGAACCAACAATTAGTATTATATAAAGATTCTATATAGCCTACAAAATTCATATAGGTTAATACATAATTCTCAACAAAACAAAGCAACGCCTTGTATTGAAAATAAAGACAATCTGGTTAGTTCTTGTGGTCTGGACTCCCGCGGGCGGTTGGATGGCTGAATGCGCGCTGTATCATAAAGTCTGTCATTGAGTCAACTGGCGTGGTTTCGATTCCCCGGCTGTACGTGGCAAGGAGTAGGGTCGCCTGTCCAACCTCACGGGTTTTCTCCGGGAAACCTTCGTTTTCTCCCACTGCTAAACCCCATTTCTCTCTCTCTTTCTCTCTCTCTCTCTCTCTCTCTGGACTCCCGCTTCAAAGAAAATACGTTGTACAAAACACGTGTTTATGGCAGTTGGCATCAATTTATAAAACATTTCCTCAATTACCCGATTACAAAATCCGAGTTAAAAAAATACCATGGCATCAAAGTTTTAATTTATTGCGTTATTCTATATGGATCGCCCAAACACGTGTCCACAACCTTACAAACTTAAATGCAAAGATACTGAAACATGTGGTGTTTTATGTAATTATAATTTTATATACACCCATGTGAAATAAAATGAAATGGGGTTGAACGTCTTACTTTTTTGCACTAACCGTGCTGATGAAATGATGAAACGTCCTACTGTTCTGCACCGACTGGGCTAATGAAGACCGGCACACGTTCTTTTACGTTTTTCGAACTACTAGACACTGTTCTTGCCAGACCTTCTCTGACAATGGGAAACCAGGCCGGAAAATCCCAATGAACTTTTTTCCGCGGCCAAGACTGGGGGCAAACCCTGGTTATCGAGCAAATGTCTTACTCTCTGAGCCAACGTGGCCCTCCTTTTTTATTGTTCTTGCCAGGCCTTCTCTGACAAAGGGAAACCGGGCCGGAAAATCCCAATGAACTTTTTTCCGCGGCCAACACTGGGAGCGAACCGTGATTAGCGAGCAAATGTCTTACTCTCTGAGCCAACGTGGCCGTCCCGTTTTAAGAAAGACTGACGTACGCCATTATGAATTGTCTTGTGAGGAAAGTTTGACTCTGATAGCTGCCTTACTATCTATTTTATATAGAGTTTCAACTGACAAGGTATCTTTAACGTGCTGCCAAGGGACCTCGAATTTTCGTCCCATCCCAGCGATTAGACGCTTTTCTTCCCCCGTCTATATAACACTGACAACTTGATACCAGACTGATGAACCCCGAGGAACTTTTTGTGTTCTTAGTTGTCTATCATTCAAATACAGTAATGTAATTTTTGCGTGTTGACATAAATATGGAATTAATGCGTGTTGACATAAATGTGTACAAAATTAATGTGACCTGGAGGGTATCGTCATAAATACGTACTGAAATTTACGCAATTGATAAAAGTTTTCATTTAACACACTCGTTTCCTGCTTGCATTAATTTCTTTATTTACGGAAACGTAATTTGTCGACCATCACGCCACTTTAAGACGAGAATTGCAGCAGGTATTTCAACGATTCACCTCCACTGCTCTCTAACAGAATCCACCTTTTCTTATATATTTAACATTTTATCAAACATTCCACACATGTATGCATTCTGGTGAATACGGAATTGTATGGTCATTCAGTCTACAGCGCTATAGTGCGGATCTTAAATCTGTTATCTTAGATTTGGGTTCGATCCCACGCTTGTGTAAAACAAGTAAGTTAGCTTGCCTTACCTTGTGGGTTATCTAGGCTAAATTACATTATTATCTAAAAAAAACATATGGTCATCTAGTTGTGAACTCTCTAATATAGGCGGGGTTAATTAATTTTTGGAACCTTTAAAGTTCGAGGTGGGCTGATGGTGAATTTATAATGATGTGAATATATAGTGCACATCAATTTTACGAGAACATGTTATTGTTAAATGTTACATGTACTATATATAAATGTTACATGTAAAGTATATATAAGTAAATATTCAGTCTTTATTTACCATTACACATCTACTCTACTCTACAAACATATAAAATTACATCCACACTGACTTGCATTTTATTTTTTAACTGATGCAATGTTTAAATTGAAACACCTCATATGCTCTGTCTAGATGCATGTGGTGTTTGACATTTAAATGTTTAAACCCACTTATTTTATGTAAATTTGATAGATGTGGGGTCATTCCATTTAAGCACGTTTCCACCTAAAATAATAGATTCAACGTAGGTTAGCCGGTCCAAACCGATTGAAATGTGGTCGAATGTTATTGTCGCTCCTGTCGGTCCTTTTGTCCGTCATCCAAAATTTCTTGTGAACACTCTGCAAACTACATTTATGTCAACTGTTTCAAGAGTTATGGCTCTTGTTGATTTTGCAGAATCTTGTGAATGCTCTGGCGACAATCGTATAGTCACCATTGTCCAGAGTAGTGAAATGAAAAAGTCTCTTAGATTCCAACAATTTCTATAATTACTTACTTCCAGAGTTATTACAATTGTTCTCCTTGCACAATCTATGCTCCACCTACAAATGTTATCCACCAATCTGCTTGAAACTGATCTGTCAACCTATCTTTACAGTTTTAATTTGCAGACACCAACGCATGCGTTGCACTTGCATTAAGATTGACGCACCGACCACTGCACAGTTTAGTTTTCTATTTCAACAACTGTAACCGACATTCCCAATCTGATTAAAATACAGATCTATATATTTCGTTTCGTTTTTTTATACTTTCGATGGCCTCTACCTAGTGTAGTAAAGACAAGTAAAACGAAATTTTGAACTATAAAAAACGAAACGAAATAGGATCTGCGTTTTAATCAGATTGCCGACATTCCTAACTGCTATTTTACTTTTAATTAAAACCAAACTAAAACCAATTACTGACCATGTGCTATGTATTCACCTTCTACAATTGAAACTAAATGTTTTTTAACCATTTGTTTTGTATTTAGAACAGATAACAGATAACAGAGTAATAGAAAGAATGTTCCCAACACTTATCTCTTATTTAATAACAAAGTTTCGTAACTTATACAGGCCGGGTTTTCATTTAAGGAATGAATGGTCCGGTTAATTGTAATACACACAGTGGCATTTAACAATTGGAAACATTACAGAACTAACACAGTTATATGGGACAGCATTATATATAGACCTTCCAGTTTATCGAAACGTTGTGCTTGTGTATAATAAACCAGCGATTGTTATCCCATATAACTGTGTTAGTTCTGTAACATACATAGTTTTAATTATGAGCTAACACTTGTTTTAACAATATTTTATTTGGTATCATGCAGTGTCCAGGAGTATACAGTGAATATGATGGGATCCAAGGAATTATTTAGACAAAAAAGAGAGATATTATCAGTGAATTACGTTATACACCATTCACTGGAAATTTAAAACAAAACAGACAAGAGCAAATTTAAAATCCAGTGAATACTGGTAAATGTAATGTAATAAAATCCAGTGAATACTGGTAAATGTAATAAAATCAGATAATAGACCTCGGATCGGAACAAAAATAGTGTAGTAAAAAAGTGAATTTTTGTTACAGTGAACTCTAACTACATCTGTAAGAAATATTTGTTCAATTGGTCCAACCTATCAATAGAAAGGACTTTTTGGTGAGAATGATTTTAACTAATCACTGTAACAAAAATTACAGAGAGAGAGAGAGAGAGAGAGAGAGAGAGAGGGAGAGATGGGGTTTAACGTCCACTCGACACAGACCAGGTCATTTCGGGACTAACACATGGTTCAATTTTATTTCAATAATTCGCTTGCGCGTAGGGGGTCTTTAGCAGTGGGTGGAAACCGGAGGGCCCAGAGAAAACCCACGAGGTTGAACAGGCGACCATATTGTCACGTACAACCGGGGAATCAAACCACGCCAGTTGACTCAATTACAGACCTTATGATACAGCGCGTACGTGCTAACCATTCGGCCATCCACCCCCTCCCCCCTCCACCACCACCAAAAATAAATTATACTTCAGGCAACTACAATTAAATCCAGTACGAAATAAAGAAAAGGAAATATATTGTTAAGCATCATACCTAGACTGTAAACAGCGACATTTGTATTCTGTGTCCAGATGCACGTTGTTTGTCCGAAACAAAATTTAACACAAACGTCCAAACAGTCCGAACTGGTACAAAATTAAGAGCAGTCCATTCATTTCGCAAAAGTCTCAGTTCAATTCTCCAGATAAAGGTCGCTTGCGAAAAACAGAATCCATGGACAAGAAACCAAAAGAGGAACTAACCTTCCAGATCTGAACGGACAGAAAACCTAAACTATGGTTGTTAATCACGTGATCTTCAAACGTCAGTACTGCGTTTCCAAAAAGACGTCATGCACAAGATATCCAGAGGAAAACAATGATTAATGTAACACCTAGTTTTAATTTAAAACAGTCATTGGTATTCCTTGAACTAAAGATAACAGCTTCATATCAGACACAGATTCCTGCACAAGTTACCCGGAGTGTAAAAAAAAGGCTAAATCTAACAGAGCTAGTTTCAATTTAAAGCAGTCATTGGTATTCATACGAGCATAGATCAGAAAAATATTCCTGCTCAAAGAAAAAGCCCCAACAAAACTATCAAAATCACAATCAGTCCTTCCTACTCGCAGTACTACAAATCACAATGATAGTAAAACCACAGAATAAAATTTATCATTAGTCTTCATTCAATTTGTCGATATCTATTAACTATAGTGTTGATGACCTCGTATATAAATCACAAGTCATCAATAAATGACTGGCCAGTAACATTATTATTAACGATAATATAAATCATTTGTACTATTAGTTCCAACTCAACAATGGCCGTTTATTAACTTAGAGTTTGTACTGTTTGCATAGGCGTACGGGGAAATTTTTTACTGGGGGGGGGGGGGGGGCGGTGGTGGTTGGTGCCCCAAAAATGTAGTTAGGTTCCTAGTATGTTACATAATAATCATAATATCTCTTTTGCGATGAATAAGTTCTTAATTTCTAAATCATCAATAAAAGAGAACTTATTTACTTGTAATATACACAACTAAAAACAGTTGTTTATGTAACTGTAATTTGTGGCTTACTGTACTCCAAACAATAGAGGGTTCGAGTCTTAAGATTTCTATATTTAATTGCCTAACTATAGACACTCTGAATTTAAATTCGCTTTTAAATTGGACGCATTCAAGAACACAATATTTTTTTATACAACTTTTACAAAGTACAATTGTGTGCCCAAATTTTTCCAGCATTTGGTGCCCAAAATGGGGGGGGGGGGCGGCCCCCCAGCCCCCACAGCTCGTACGCCTATGACTGTTTGTTCAGTTAGCAACTTACCGAACTACTTCCAAGCTTTGTAATAAATGAAACTGATTTTATAATCAAATCAACTGGCGTCTCCGGGGACACCCTGTCATTCTGTATCAGTGTCATCATGGCTATCACTACATCCAGTTTTTATATGTTATTTTTATTGAATTAAAATGTTCGATCACCTGCCGAGCGTACAGTTTTAACGATTGTATCTTACAATTTATTAATACATTATGTCCTATCTAATAATTCATCATGCCAAATTGCAGATTTCATTGGAAAATGATGTAATTAATAATAATTCGGTGAACGGGTTAGAAATTAAATGGCGTTTCACTTCTTACTTTTCTGCAATCGACTAATGAAAACGGGTATGCGTCATGGGGGGAATTTTACCCTAACAGCGACTCTAATACTCCTATTTTGATTTCCAAACTGTCAGGGGTCTTTATCGTGCTGCCAATGGTGTGTACAGAATCTCTGTTTTTATTCCCAGGCGAACGACTTTTCCTGGTCGGGACAGGTTGAAATGTTCCGTTTTTGACTGAATCTCACTTGCTGGTCTAATAAAGAAATTGGGTTTCGATTCCCTTGTTGTACGTGAAAAGGCGTAGGATCGCCTGTCCAACCTCGTGTGTTATCGTGCTGCCAATGGTGTGTACAGAATCTCAGTTTTTATTCCCAGGCGAACGACTTTTCCTGGTCGGGACAGGTTGAAATGTTCCGTTTTTGACTGAATCTCACTTTCTGGTCTAATAAAGAAATTGGGTTTCGATTCCCTTGTTGTACGTGAAAAGGAGTAGGATCGCCTGTCCAACCTCGTGTGTTATCGTGCTGCCAATGGTGTGTACAGAATCTCAGTTTTTATTCCCAGGCGAACGACTTTTCCTGGTCGGGACAGGTTGAAATGTTCCGTTTTTGACTGAATCTCACTTGCTGTTCTCATAAAGAAATTGGGTTTCGATTCCCTTGTTGTACGTGAAAAGGAGTAGGATCGCCTGTCCAACCTCGTGTGTTATCGTGCTGCCAATGGTGTGTACAGAATCTCAGTTTTTATTCCCAGGCGAACGACTTTTCCTGGTCGGGACAGGTTGAAATGTTCCGTTTTTGACTGAATCTCACTTGCTGGTCTAATAAAGAAATTGGGTTTCGATTCCCTTGTTGTACGTGAAAAGGAGTAGGATCGCCTGTCCAACCTCGTGTGTTTTCTTCTGGTCCTCCAGTTTCCTCCCACTGCTAAAGACCCCCACGCACAAGCGAATTATTGAAATAAAATTGAATCATATGTTAGTCCCGAAATGACCTAGTTTGTGTCGAATGGACGTTTAACACCATTTCTCCCCCCCCCTCTCTCTCTCTCTCTCTCTGGCTGAACGTCGTACATGATTTCTTTCTTACCTGTACAAACAACTACAGGTGTTTACATTCAACCAATTGTATCTTCTATAATACGAATACCGTCCTACTATAACCACTTATCGTATACGAATATAGGCCTATATAACCACTATCAGAGAGATTAAATTGATAAAAACACAGAATTACCAAATGTAAACATTGATTCAGTTGATTTTAATATAAGTTCAATACTGTCGTTTATTTATCTTATCGTTCTGTTATTGTTCAATCCGGGCTGTTAATTACACAATAGTCACAGGTCACGGGGTGATTTCAAGGGACAATATGCCCAATCTGATTAAAACACAGATCCTATATCGTTTTGTTTTGTATAGTTCAAAATTTCTTTTTACTTGTCTTTACTACACTAGAATCTGGAAGAGTTGTTATATTACCGCCGTTTTGGTTGAAAGTGAGGGATAAGCCAATGAAATGGTCTGTTATGGCGACTTCTTGAACTGTGGGTAAACCACTCGAAACGTCAATGTTGATTGATTAATCAATGTTTGACGTTATAGGGTCAAAAGCCGCCCGTACGACCCCTGACACGACCTTCGAGTACAACTTGTCAGATCTTCATGTAGGCCATCGAAAGTATAAAAAAAAACGAAACGAAATATAGATCTGTATTTTAATCAGATTGCAATATGCCATAATACAATTAATAAATCACAGGGAACCGTTCATCTTTACCATCTGCTACCTGCTACTGTGAGCTGTGTTGAATAGAGATCAAAACTGCTGGTATGCAAATCGATTTAGTCTAAGCTTTGGCCATTTGAAGTTTACATTCGTTGCTATTAATTTCACATCACCATATTCATGCATAGTTTGGGTGGATGGGCGGTTGTTTGGGTGGCAGGGGCTAAAACTAAGGTTTTAGTTTTTGTGCCCCCAATGAAATGTTACAAATTGACTCCAACCTACTTTTTTCTCAGCACATGCATTATATAGTTTAAAATACTATAAACAATTAACTTGGGGCTCAGTTGTCTAAAAAAAAGAGCAAGTATGATAATTCTTACCCTTGTTTAGATATCTAATTTTACCTAATAATGTAGTTGCCGAGCAGCTTGAAATTTACCTACTGTGTGTGGATTTTAAAGGTTCAAACATCTTGTCATATCATAAAATAGATTATATAAGGTCTGATCTCAATATAATTTGAAACTAAAGGCCACCGTACACAAATCTGTCGATCGGATCATAGATTTGCTTCACACCAATTCTCGGTGACATGGTGGGATTATATTACAGGAAAAGTCTAAAGGAACAAGAAATACTGATACCAGCCCATAGTGTAAAAGCATAATGTATTACATATTCCCTAAGCAATGGACCGGGAAATCCCTCTCTGGCCATTGCTGGATTGACTTCTGATACTTGAGCTTTTGAGGGAGTGTGTCTATTCTTCCCGTTCCATCAAATCTATTCCAAGTACAGCAACATGACAGCCCTTCGTTTAATCTGGGGTCTTCCCTAAAACTTTGAACAGTGATTTAAGGTATTAAAAACGGTGGAAGTATTGTTCGTCTTCAAACAGTATTGTTTACATTGTATCTGTGTTGATAGCCTCGTTTTTCACGCAATTAGTTTTTTCTGCAATATTCTGCTATGCACTGGTTAATTGGGCATAATAATATCGTGAGTCATGACGTAACGTTGTGTAAACATATCTGGTCCAATTTGGAGCTCTGTTTAAAGCGTAATGACATTGTTACGCAGTTAGCCATTGGTTGTTAATCGGGGCTATTGACAAGTCATAATTTGGAACAGGAATTTGCTTCCATTACAGCAGTGTTAAATGGGATTAGCTCTAATCAAATGAAACCCTGCGAGGAGTATGAATGTTTATATGGCCATTTACAATGTATCTGAAAACTTCCTACATTTTCTTTGATAAGAGTTTGAAAACCCACTTATAGCTACCACCATAATACCGTATGTTTATATTTAACGAAATTATTGAGTCGTAAACATAGACTGACACTCGAAAGTGTTTTATATAACGCCACTTAAACTGTCAGAATTTCATAAATAAATTCAAAATAGTGTGCATATTTAGCAACTAGTATATCATTAAAGGTTGATTAATGTCAGCAAGTTATTCCGACTGGTATAAGCATATATTGCCACTCGAAATGAAATGAAATAAAATCAGGTTACGTCCGACTGGGCTAATGAAGACTGAAATAAGCCATTTAGTGGGTTATAAGGGAAATTTTGCCCGGATCGCGGCGCTATAATCTGGCCTCTTATATCGAATTCCAACTGTCAAGGGTTCTTTTACGTGCCCGCCAATATGTATACGCACACCCGGGCCCGTAGCCAGCGGGGGGCAAGGGTGGGGGACGGGGGGGGGGGTGCAATGCCCCCCTGAAAAATGTTTAGAATGTGCAGAGAAACTCAATCGGTCTCCCGTGTTAATATTCTATTACGCCATTTATGTAAATGCGCAAATTTGACTGTTGATTTGTCTGGAGTGAGTTGCTTTATAAAAGTAGGTTATAGGAAAATCGTATAGCTCTAACATACCTACTGTAGACTGCCCCCCCCCCCCCAAAAAAAAAAAAAACTTCAGGCTAGGGGCCTGCACACACCCTATAAACAAATCGGTCACGAAGACATGCACTGAGTGTTAACATCCTACTGTTCTGCACCGGCAGGGCTAATGAAGACCGACATATGCCATACAGGGTGCTATGAGTGAAATTCGTCAAGGGATGTTTTACGTGCACAGGGACCATGCGTTTTCGTCCCATCCGAAGGAATATACGTTGTCCCTTGCCAGACCCTCTGGCCTACACCACTGACAACAGGGAATCACGCCGGAAAATCCAGATAAACTGTCTCGGTCAACACAGTGATCCAACACGGGACCTCCATATTAGCAAGTCAACGGTTTACTCACTGAGTC